CTTGATAACGCTATTATTGTATATCCCCTTGGTAATTTCTAGTGTTTTAAAAATCTATCCGTAGAATTCTAAGACCCAAACATATGAAAATAGATTTATACATTTTCTTGAGATTTGACAGTAAAAATATTGAACAGTATTTATAATTTGTTTTAATAGCTATTTCTTTATAATAGGGTAGATAATAAATATTGCAATGTAGTTGGCTCACATATTTTTATAATCTTGTAAATATAAAATTATTCTTGTAAATAAAAATCTAATAAATAAATGCTGGTTAACATTTTTGTTGTCATTCTCAAAAAAAAAAAAAAAAATGTATAAAAAACCAGTTTATGAGATACATGGCTGAGTGGACAGAAGCATTGGTTAAATGTTGTTACCTAGGAGTTGTGAGTTCAATTCCTACGTAGTGCATAAGATTCATATACTCTGGTTCATTGGAAGAGATAAGTGGCATCACAGGAACAAATTATGAAATATGAACATGATGATTACAATGGTCAGAATAAAATTGTTGTATCTCAAATATCCAGACAAAAATTACTAACATTTGTTCTATTGAAAAGTGGGAAACTTTCAATACTCAATCTCTTACACACACACACTTCCATCATGTAATTAGTAATTTTGGTTCATATACACACACAAAGTGAATTTTTTTTTTTTTTTTTGTAAGATATGAAATTAAATCCAAAGCAGCACTCTCCATTAGAAGATGTGTTTTCATGAAGAAATTAAATCCATTCTTCATATCATTAACATCACTTTTTAACATATCTTTTTAAATATCTTTTGGGGTATTACAATGTTTGAATTTCAAGATGATTGCATGCTAACATTTTTAATACATTTCATATATCAGAAATCTCACTGATGATAGGGAAATCAATTTTTTTTCTCAGTTATGATCCAAGTAAATATCTATAATGAAGTACCTCACCAGACCATTAATAGTACTACAGCAAGTTCAGTTTGCACATAAGTATACAAAAATGGAGTTATTGGGAATTGAATCAAATTTATTCTTATAATTTAAATAATAAATCCTGAAGATGTTTTTGAAATACAGAAAATGTCAAAAGTTGGAAAACCATTGTAAATTAAGAATAAAACTCACTTTTATTTCATTGTATCTTTCAACAGCTTGTCTTTCTGAGCGCTCGAGTTCTCTTACTTCAGATTCATATTTCTCACGAATCCGCCTACAAAAAACAAAACATTCAGACACTTCATTGAGATTTGCACAATATTAAAGAACTACATTTGTCAGAATATAAACAGCATTTAATAAAAAATCCAGCTAAGTATCACACTGTTAGTAACCTTATTAATTACTGATCACTGGCACTTCTTTGATTCCTGATTTTGAATTCTATGGAAAAACATTAGCAATGTATTTACATTATATATATAATAGCTATGTTCCGTCAGTAACACTCGGATTAATTAGTGTACTTTTTTCTCCTAATTTCTAATATACAAACTTGCTTAACAAAAAAAAAAAAAAGAAAGAAAAAAAAAGAGTAAATTAAATAAAAAAAAAAGAAAAAGAAAAAAGTCATCATTTAATTATTAATTTTTCCTAACTACCAGGAATATATACTTTGTTAGTAGATAAAATGGAAAATAGTCAGGTAGTGATATGAACTTTGCCTGTGTATATGATTATTTTTTTTTTATTAATCAATTCACTCCAAGCAAGGTGATAATGTCACTAAGACGCAAGGGGTTACTGGGAGGGGAAGGGAATAAAAAGACTTTAGTATGAACTAGAAATCCAATCCTAAACAGGAAACAAAGGATAAACCTGTTTAGGATTGAGTTTCTGGTCTCTTCTAAAATCTCATTCTTTTTCACTCCCAGTAACCCCTTACATCTTAGTGCCATTATCATTACCTACCCATTTTCTAGTTTATCTACTAACAAAGTATGTATTCCTGGTAGTTAGGAAAATTAATAATTAAATGGTGACTTTTTTAAAATTTAATTTTCTCTTTTTCTATTCAAATAAAATATCATTGTGGCTACAGCATCTAACCCTTTTGTTGGAATTTGTTAAACATGTTGGGTGGTACAATAATGAAACATTAATCACAATTAAATATTAGTTTTGATTCCAGTTGAAGCCAGTAAATATTTTAGGCTTTCTTGTTGCTGCCTACTGACTTTACTGCTAACCCATTGCTCCTCACTTTTATGTCCTAACAAACAAAATATTTCTGTTGGTAGGAATGAAAAATTAAGACAGTGTATTCTTTTTTGTTTACTTAAAATTTGTTCTGTTTCAGTACTCAATCCCTATGTGGTTCATTGAAAATGGAAAAAAAAAAAAAAAAAAAAAAGGGGATTGACAGTGGTCAGAAATTGAAGGAAGTGTTACTGATAGAATAAGGAAATTGTGTATAATGTAATAATAATAAGACATTTACACAGTCCTAAATCAGTCACAGTCAACAGTATAGAGTTGAACTTTGTCGTTAGCAGCATAATATATGCTATGCCAGAGCTAAATACCATTTTGAATTTAGAGTTGTCCTTCTCCTAGACAGATTGCCAACAATAGCTAAAGAGCCCATTCTACTACCCTGTTATTTAACCCATACCTGGAGGGAGAAGAGATGGATCCATATCTTTCCCAAGAATATTTGTGTGAAAGTGAATATAACAAACCTAGTTCGCCAATTTTATCGTTCCAAGCTGCTAAACATCACCTAACCGGCACATCCATAATAATGTAAATGCATCAAAAATGAAATTTCTCTAGAAAAATCAAGAAGATTTTCAGTGGTCAAGAATTAAACTATTACTGACAGAATATGGCTTTATTGTAATGGAATGTCCCACACTCCCTATCATCTATGTGGACCGACTATATCAGTAAGCTATATATAGTGAGCACAGGATAAACCTGAGGGCTTGCTTCAGGAATTACTAGCCTGCCACCTGATCCCCTGTCTTTCAGTAGTATATTCTCTTTTACAATAAACCTCTCTTTCTTTCTACACACGTGTTCCTGTTCCATCACTCGAATACCACCTTTGTCTGTTTCTAACCTCTTTAAGGATACAACAGGCTATTACACAGATAATTGTTAAAATTGATTTATTTATTTGTTTTTCATGGCTTATCAATCCTTTATGAGTTATTTAAAGCCAAAATATTTTTTGGATTATAAAAATAAGAATTTTTTTTTTTTTTTTTGAGAGTGAATATTGCATTTTACAATTTTTTTTAGAGAATGATTTTTCCAGATGCATGTCCTACTATTTAACCCATAGCTGAGGGGGTTGTAGAGATGGATTCAAACCTTCCCCGAATTCAAACTCAGCTTTCCAATTTTTCATTCCAAGCAGCTATCTATAACACCACTCACACATCCATAATTGTTTTTAAAAAAAAAAAAAAAAAAAAACAAAGTTGTATTTTTGGTACATTAACACATGTAAGTTATGTAATACTTTTTGTAGGGAAGGTTTCAAGGAAGAATCAATGAAGGAACTTGAGAGTTTTTAAATGAAGCACAAATTAATTGGTCCTTTGTGATGCACAACGAACAGCAATCAGTCTAAAGGCAATGTTATTGTTAATAAGAAAAATATATTCAATGAGAATAGGTTATAATAAATTAATACTTCTCCTTTTATAAAAATAGAGAAATAATATTCAATACACACACAAAACAACAAAATAAACCTATATCTTCTATTTCTTTTTTAAAATAAATTTTCTAACCAAATGAATGATGTGTTTGGTGCACCTCAAATGAAATAAAAAATAATTTAAATATTTTTGGTCTTTCTTACTTGATTCGATTTTGGGCTGTCCTTTCACACTCTTCACGGGCATTTGTTGCATCTTCTTCAAATCTATTAATCACCAACTCGATTTCTTTGTCCCTATCTCGACGAACTTTTTCTTTCAGCTCTCGTTCCTTGGCCAATAAAGTAGTTTCCTGTTTCTTCATGAAATTCTCTTCCCAAGCTGCTTTCTCCAGTGCCAATTTCTCGCGTATTTCTTGAATTTCAATCTGCATTGACAAAATCAAAAATAATTCTCGTTTTCAAAGAACTTTAATTACTTACAGAAAATTCTATGATTTTTCTAAAATACTTCAGTAATTTAAATTAAAAAAGTAGTGTGTGTTACAAGTCAATACTGGTAGCACCTTTTTTAACACATAAGTCAAGAGAGTCAGCATGAAGTATAAAAAAAAGCTAAGTTACAATGAATATAGTCAGACTCGCAATAAAATAATAAATACTAGTCAAAAATGAATGACCGACAATATTTAATTTAAGAAATTCAAACAGTATTATATCTAATACTATGTACAAAAGAAAAGATCAAAATGTTATTGTGGTGTATGCTGTTTTTGCAGAAATAAAAAAAAAAATGCCTCACCAACAAATGAAGTCAATGAGCTCAGATAAATGAGCTACTTTTTAACCAAGTGGAATGGATTGTGTTAAAAAAAAAAAAAAAAAAAAAAAAGAAAAAAAAAAAAAAGAAAAAAAAAGAAAAAAAAAAAAAAAAAAAAAAAGAAAAAAAAAAAAAAAAGAAAAAAAAAAAAAAAAAAAAAAAAAAAAAAAAAAAAAAAAAAAAAAAAAAAAAAAAAAAAAAAAAAAAAAAAAAAAAAAAAAAAAGAAAAAAAAAGAAAAAAAAAAGAAAAAAAGAAGAAAAAAAAAGAAAAAAAAAAAAAAAAAAAGAAGAAAAAAGAAAAGAAAAGAAAAGGCTAATTTCCATGCTCCACAAATAGTAAACCGTAAAGAGCCCAACAAACTGCGATAAAAATGATTGATTTTCCTGCCTAGGAGAAAACCTTGTGAATTTGCATATGAGTGCAGCAGACTTTGTGACTTTCTAAGGAATTACTTTTGTTCTTTTACATATTACTAGTATAAAAATATAAACAAAAATCACAACATATGGTATTCAGAGAGAAGAAGTAAAGTATTCAGCTATATAGTTCAATTTGGGTGGCACCTTAACTTTCATTGATAAAGGCAATGTCATGGATAGAGAGGTTCTGAAGCATAAGGGACTGATTTAGAGTCTTTCTAGTTTATCTCCAATACGTTTAGGTTGGCATAAAGTTCAGGATTTTCAATAAAAAGATACAGAAATTAAATGAAGGAAATACAAGTACAAATTAATATTAACTGACAGATTATTGAAGCAGCAGGTTAACAGCCTGCAACACATTACCATTCTAAATCTGAACACTGAATCACAGGCTGATTAGCAGTGTTGAATTAAATATTTCTTTTAGTAAGAATTTAGAAACACCAAAGGTGAAATATTGCAAAAATCAGTCAGTTTGTGGTTTATTGTTTTAAATAAAGTGAACAAGAATGAAGAACTGCACATACTCACAAATTGCTGCGACGGAAACAAGCAAAAGAGACTAATACTATTATTTGCGTTGCGAGATTTGACTGTCACCAATTCTTGTTCACATTTAGGACGTCTCTTTTCTATCTCTCCTTTTAACTGTAGTAATCACAATGCTTGTGACTGCCTAGCATTCCAAAACTAATTTAACAAAAGCCAAAACAAAACACCACTGTATCTCCCTTTATATAGACATTTGTTGCCCACAATTCTCTGGTCCCCCTCATTTACTTAGATACTCTGCTTGTATTAAGATAAATGACACTTTGTCTTTCATTCATTTATTCAAACTATAAATACATAAAATACAATGTTAGAAGAAAACCAACTACTGAAGATGAGCTATGATTATTTAAAACTCCCAATAGGCTCCCTGCTTACTGATTGGACAGATAGTTTATTTACTAATTGGTTAGAAAATATTCTGTTTCTGATTGGCTAGAAAAGGTGATGGATAAAATACAATGTTGTAAGCTGTGCTCCTACTTTCACAAAGAACTTAAAGTAAAGATAACATTGTTCACTAAATCATTCAATCTGTTTTGAACTTATCTTTTCTATTCATTTTCTTACAGGTATCTTTTCCTCCCCAAAAAATCAGAGTATTCACATTTGTCATTGCCATTTTCTTATCCATCTATCATTAGTTTTCATCTAAAATATTTTATGTACTCTTATTTTGCAGACAAAGGATTATAAAATAAAAAATAATGGAAAGAGAAATTGTCATGTTAAGGTAGATATGTTTACTTTGTGTCTTTTTTCATGATCTGCAAGACTTTTATCAAACTCCTCCTTTGTGGTCTGGAGTAATTGCTGGTGAGCATTCTGTAACTGTTGTTGAAGACGATCCACTTCATTGTGCTCTCTTAATGATTGAGAAGCTAATCGCTTCTTCTCGGCTTCTATTTCTGCATAAAGACGTCTACGTTCATTTTGGAATGCCTCTTCTTCCTGTTGAATTTGCTTTTCATATCTACAAGCAACAAAGAAACAGCAGATGAGAACATGCAATGGTTGGAAGTGGATTTATTTGCATTCAAAAGAAGCTAGAAATCTAGCTTTAAATATTTGTTTTCAAATAGGTCAACAAGCATGAGGACATTAGTCTGGCTAAATAATGATAACTCCTCATCACAAAAAATTCAAACAGAAATGCAATGTTATTGAAAAGAAAGAAAAATAAAAAAAATTTAAAATATGATTTAGCAATCTTTAACCTTCATGCCCACAAAGAAAAAAAAAAAAAAAGGTGTGTAAAGGAAGTTTTTTTTCCTGTTGACACTGCTATTATTTTAACTACCTTCACTCCCTTGGCAATGTTTAGTGTTTTAAAAGTGATGATTAAAATTTTAAAAACCTAAACATATTAAAGTGAATTTATAGATTTTCTTTGTTCTTGAGAATTTACAACAAAAATATTAAACACTGTTCATTAGATTGTTTATTGGAATGGTTAGCAAAACATTGACTATTTGCCAATTGATTCAAATTTTAAAAAATGGTAAATAAGGATTTCCTTATGGCTGGTTCACATATTTTAATAATTTAGTAAATGTTTATAAATTTATGAATAAAAATTTTCATATTTCGTTATTAATTGGTAAATGATAAATATTGCATCGTATTGGTTTTAATACAATTGAATTAGTTTTTAGAATGTTGTAAATACAAAATTATTCTTGTAAATAAACAATCTAATAAATAATGTTTAATATTTTTGTTGTCAATTTTTAAGAACAATGTATAAATTCACTTTCATCATGTTTAGGTTTTATTATGATTCTAATCATCACTTTTAAAACAATAAATATTGCTGAGGAGTGAAGGTAGTTAAAATAATAGTGGTGTGAAGGGAAAACCTATCCTTTTGACACTATTTTTTGTGGGTATAAGGATCCAAGATTGCCAATTAATTTTCATTGATCCATTGTTACTGTCTCAAGAAAGAAAAACAAAAGATTTATTTTTGCTATGTTTATAATTTGTGATTATTTGCATATTTCATTAACTATGTCAAAATGACTGAAATTAGAAATTAGTATCATACACAAAGAATAAACACTTTAAAAATTTAAAGCCAAAAGATAACATAGAAAGGTACATCATTCGACTTAATAAATAATTATCTTAATATGAGTGCTGTCAAATAAAAAAAAGAAACTACCTTTGTTTAGCTAACTCTCGTTCATGCATACATGCTGCTTCTTTTTCTTTTGCTAACTGACTTCGAAGCTCTTCCGTCATTTTAACATATCTTTGGGCAGCTCTCTCATCAGCTTCCAACAATTCAGCTTCATGAATTTGTTTGAATTTACGAAGCTCACTTTTATGCTTGGCAATCAAACGTTGGATCTCTGGTTCCAATCCTTTTACAGTCATTTCCTAAAAGACAAGTCAGATGAAATATATTCCCAATTAACAAAAAAATAATTTTAAACATTCAATGTTCTAAGTTTGTCATATCAAATATATTAGTAGTGGGGAGTTACTTCCCTTTGTTCGTTCAGCCATTACACACCTTTTAATATTGCTTTTAAATTAAGAAATCAAACATATTTTTGTCTATTCCCCCCCAAAAAATGAAGGACGGTAATATGGTGTAAGAAATTCTATTGTGCACACACACAAATAAACTTATCTTAGCTGACGTGTTTTGTCCTCTGACTTTATCAATTGTAAGGATTTTATTTTGCAACAATTTTATGAATGACAAAATGGAAATCTTAGTTACATGTTTCATTCAAGGAATTTCATCAGGCAAATAATATATTGCAGTAACCTTCAGCATTCAAGATTCCAACAGTGCAATGTAGTTCACCAATGTTACTGGAGCTCATACAGACCATGACATGTCCATGACCATGCTTAAATGTTGAAATTTTATCCTCATTCTTCTGCACAGTTCTTCAATGGGCTCATTTGCATCTTGACTTCAGTAGCACTCTCTTATGTCATCATCAGCCATGTATGCCATACTTGTTCAATCTGAGTACATCTGATTGTTGCAGAAATATTCACAGCAAACTAACTTCTTTATCAACACCTACAACCACTTTTCTTCAGGCTTATGTCCACATCACATTGTTTATTGTATGGGAGCCAGCATTCCAAAATTAAGCAATGTCGAGCCTGGTCAGTACTTAGATGGCCGACCACTTGGGAATATCAGGTATTGTAAGCTTGGATGTACAGGTGGTGTAATGAATAATGGTTCTGGTTCCAATCCCTATTGAATTTGTTATATTCACTTACATGCAAATACCAAGTACTGTAAGCTTGGATGTGCAGATGGTGTAATGTATAATGGCTTGTAATTGTTAATTGGAGAGCTGAGTTCCAATTCCAGTCAAGTTCATTATATTCAATTAGGCACAAATGCTCCTGGGAAAGGTTTGAATCTACTCCCCCCCAAGCTATCGGTTAATTAGTAAGACTTGTATCATTAAATTATTATTATTTAAAATAAAATAAAATTAAAAAAATAAAATATTCTTACAATCAAAAAATATTTTCTGGTTTTAAATAACCTGCAAAGGGTTGATAAGCTATAAAAAACGAATCAATTGATAAAAGTTCTCTTGGGTTTTCTTCAATCTATCTTCAGATACAATGAACAGACATTGATGTTAGCTTCCATGGTCAATCTGGCCACCTCTGATATGTTTAGTTTTCTTGTGATTTTGTACAATTTTGGCCATTGTTTTATTTGTATTCTTTCAAATTAGAAGAAAGTTCTTTTCTGTATTGAGCCATGACCAAATTAAATGTCTCCACTGAAAACTATGAGTTTATAAAAACAATTTCTGACTTTTCATATTCTATTTATATTTAGATCCACTTTTAGAAAAAAAACAAAAAAAACAACAGTGGTTTAAAAATATACTTACAATGTCGATTGAAAAAATCTTTTTGTATATACAATAGGTAAAAAGTTAAAGTTTTGATAAATATAAAACTCGGTGATAAATTAAGTGGATAAAACAAAACAAAAATTAATCTGAAATTATTTAATGTTTGGATAAGAAAATATGTAAGCCAAACTGAACTTATGAGTAATAATTTGCAAACATTTTTTGTTTTTGTTTTTAATTTAGAATCAGAAAAATAATTTATAAAATGTAAGCAAACAGTAAAACATTCATCTATGAAAATCTGGAGTTGGAGTGCTGAATATAACATCAATCAGCAAAGTAAGAAATATTATATTTGTATTAATCCTAAAATATATGTATAAATATTAAAGCTATAATTGCATTCTAATCATAAATATAAGGTAAGTTTAATTTTTTTTGAATATGACAAGAATGCTGTAGATTAGGAAAATAATAATCTTTGACCAGATTAAGTAATGAGATTCTAAAAATAAATTTTTAAAGTACCTTAATTTTCTTTGTCTTATCCTCAATCCATTTTTCTCTGCGTAATTTTTCAGCAGCAGAATTCATTTCTTTTAGTTTCTTTATCTCAATATTATGACTGAAAACAAACATTAGGAATTGAATAAAAAACAAATGTTATAAGCAAATTAATTTGGATGTATTTATATAAGATCAGGTTAAAAGGTTGAAAAACCTTTAATGTATCAAAGAAATTTGAAAACAAATTTAAGTGTTTCAAATAGTAAAACAAATTACAATTAAAATGCAAGCCTTTATTTTCAAGAGAAATGTTAAAGATGAACATGAAAATGTAAATTAAAAGTACATAAAATGCCAGAGAACTGAACAAGTTTTAAAATATTAAATTCTTATTTCATGCATAAAACTGATTTGAATTAAAAAGTTGAAAGTCAAGTGTTATAAAAAATATTACTTTTTTTTAAAAAAAGTAATATTTTTTATAACACTTGACTTTCAACTTTTTAATTCAAATCAGTTTTATGCATGAAATAAGAATTCCAAGGGAGATAAAAATGTATTTACGGAATCAATGACAAATATTTTACTGAATTATAAGAATTGTAAAATAAAGAAGAATAAACAAGGGGGAAAAAATTCACCTTTCTTCCTGCATCTTAAGCCGGTCTTGATATTTCTTATCTAAAATTTTAACTTCTTTAACCAACTGCTCACATTTTTCATTTAGAACTTTTTTGTCATCAATCAACTAAAATAAATTTAAAATAAAAATTGTAACAATATTCACAACAAACCATATAGAAATAAATGGCATGACAGAGAAGTAGATCATAACAGAATTGACAGGATTAATGTTACATGACATGGTTTCAACTTTTTTTTGCATGTTCAGAATCAATGTTGATGTGATTATTTTAGGTATATGTGTAGGTGTGTATGTACTTTGGCAACAATTCTTCATTAATACAGGTTTTTATTAAAGGCCATAGAAAAAGAATGGTGTTATTTCACTGAACCTTTCCTTTGTAGGAGTGAATGTTTATCAGTGGTATGTAAGAATTGTCCTAACTTTTTTTAATTGAGCAATTTCTGCACTAGATTTATCAATCATCAAGATTCAAGACTTTAATGTTCGAGAGACAAAAATTGTGCTTATCAATGTTAACTGCATTTCAAAATTCTATTTGTAAATGTCATTACAGTATGTTGTACACTTTGGTGATGTGATGCACAAAAAATGTTCTTCACTGGGCAGAAAACCAAAAGTGCTTAAAACTTCTTGACAGATCTTACCTAAACCAACCACTGACACAGGTTCACTCAAGGGGAAACAGGAAAGTAAAATAAAAATTATAAAAGTTTTATATATATATATATATATATATATATATATATATATCATTATAGATGGGTACATGTATGTCGTTCCATAGATATGGGATAGTGGGTAATCTGTGTATGTATGTATGTATAAATATAAGAATTTGTGAGTTCATATATATAATATGGGAGAATATAGATATAATAATGTAATTAAGTATGGATTTTGATATGTTTTTTGCATGCACGCACATGTGGGTGTATATTTGTATATGTGTGTATATATGTATGTGTGTATATCTACATATGTGTGTGTGTATGTATGAGTGTATATATATGTGTGTATGTGTGTGTATGAGTGTATATATATGTGTGTATGTGTGTGTGTATATATATATATATATATATATATATATATATGTGGATATGTGTACAGATAGGTGTATATGTGTGTATGTGTATATTTATGGATATATAGAATATTATAAAAGAAGGACTTACAGTACCGTTATTAATGTTTTATCTCGTTTTCTCCTTTAATATTCTCCAATTGGAAGTGTGAGTTTAAAATTCTTTATAATATAGAGGTAAATTTTTAAATTGATAATTTAATTTAAATTGAAATATATTACCCTTTAATAATCATTATTGATGATAAAATATTTAAATTGGAAAATTTTTTTGATATTTAGGTAGGTGTTAATACATGAAATTACCTGTGTATATTGGTACATGGGTACCTGTATGAGTGATTGCACATGTAAAGGAACGTATGTATATGTGAGATTTGCATGGGTGTGTATACAGTATATTACAGAGCAAGATCTTTAATATTACCTTCAAATATTACCCCATATTAACTTGACTAAAATTTAAGTAAAAGAGATTACCTATCTAGAAACAGTCAAGAGTTAAATTCATGAACAATATTCAAACGGATAGAGATGTCAGCTTAATAATCAATAATAAAAATTTTTTAAAAAGATAAAAAAGATTACTAGAAGTAAACTTATATTTTAAAGTAAAATTTTATTCTTTTAATGTACTTTCTATGAATATTTTTCTAATCGACTACATAATTGGTGATGTGATGCACAAAAATTAGGAATTGAATAAAATTGTTGTAGAGTAACTAGCACCCCATTCAGCACTCTACCAGATGGCTTGGGTCATAGCCTTAAATAGTCTACAATTAAGGACTTCAACAGTTGATACTAAGCTGATTAATATTAGGACTGATCTTACTTTGTTTGGCTATACAGCATTTGACTCTCCTCTATTCCTTGTAAGTTGTCTTGTTAATTGTTTTGTAACTTATTGTTCTGTGTTTTATGTATGTATCCATTAGCAATGGATACTGGTGCTGAATAAATATATTAAGCACTCATTCTTCTCTGTGTATCATTCACCTCGATGATACAACAAATCCTCACTTTTTACATTGTTTATGGTTTTTTGATAAAACATAGCTAAATTAATTTATCATTTTTTTTATTTCCTAAATAAATACATTGATAAGATAAATATCCAATGATGTCAAACTGGTATTAAAGCTAAATAATTAAGAGTGGCGAAATAAATATTAAAACAGAGTTACATTTATGAACAGGGGAATCCAAAATTGCAAGGATAGAAAATTAGTTTGGCAATAAGTTAAATAGACTCAAAAATTAAATTCCTGTAGGAGAAAAGACAACTTAAATATAATTAAAGGCATTAATAAACTATTAAGAGTTACAAGCATTCCAACTAACTTGATCGATAAATGATAGATGTCTTTTGATGGTTTCTTCATATTCATTCTTCTGCAGAGTAAGGCGATGTTTCATCTCTTTGTCTGCTTCTTTTGCATGACGCACGGTCAATTCTCGCTGTTGGCTCTGAAAATAACAATGAGACACAAGATAAGAGTTGAGTTACATGCAATGGGGTTGACTGCCGAAAAAAAAAAAAAAATTTCAAAGTTTATATTTTGTAAAAAACACTAAACAATGAAAGTTCAGAGTAGACAATTATGGCTTCCAATGACCAAAAAGTAATACAGTTAAGTCCATCAATAAAAATATTATTTATCTGATGAAGTTCCTTCTTGGAATGAAACACAAGACTAAAGTTTCCATACTGTCATTCATCTATCTAAAATAATAATATTATATATAATCTCAACGTTATTGGTTTGGAGAGGTGATCCCTCTCCATGCAGTAACTTTGGAAAGTGCCTGAAAATCATACCATAGGTTGACTCAAGCCTTGTGAGTGAAACTGGGTAGATGGAACTGTCACAAAGTCACAAGTCATCGTGACCGAGGGTTTGAGCATACTGGCCTTTTCCAGACTGTTGATCATGTGATTATGTGTTCTCTCTCAGAAACTGTAACTAAGGTTTGCTCAGCACAGTTGCAATATAAACCACAAGTGGGCTTTATGGGTGTTGAATAAACACAAATGTGCCTGAGCAGGCGTTTACAACAGGGATTGGCTAGGCACCCTAGTACAAAGGCATACTCAGATAAGAGTGGCCAGCCATTATAACTGATAATGGTATGTTGAAAAAAAAAATTTATTAGTGACATTGTAATAGTTTAAAGTTATAAAATCATGTATTCAATAGAGAAAAGAAACTATTAGAACATAACATACGGTTGTATGTAGCTACTTCAACAATAAAATGACAAGACCTAGTTGCCAATCTAGTAGTACGCTTAAATTCATATGGTTGAGGTAATAAGGAGAAGAGCTCATTAGAAAACCTACCATGAAAATATTTATAGAGAAAACAGAGGGAAGCCATGTCACAGTAATGGTAAAGTTATTGTAGTTGAGATGCCAGGTCAGGATCAATAACATTACAGACCCAGATATGGCAGCAATATTCAATGCATGGATGAATGGTAGATTTATAAACATGCAAGATGGATTCTGCTGAGAAATACTGTCTGACATAACATGGTGAACAAACTTTCCAGAACTAGCAATTGATCCAATATTATTATTTTGCTTTATGCATATGGAAAACATGAGACCAAGAAGGCACAATGTGTTGCTCTCTTAAATGATAGCAGCAGCCATATGCTGATGCAACAAAAAAAATAGTTTTCTATGATAACTAAAAGATGGTAATTTTGTTTTGCAAGCATTAGAATTTACAAGCCATTTCTTGCCCCAGTTAACAATTGATTGGAAGGAATTTTTGAGATCAGCCGTGAATTTTACTTTATCAGACGTGCCGAACTTACAATTAAGACAGGAGTAAATATTTGTGACGTCAGCATAAATACCTAATTGGAAACTGATGACATTGGGAAGATCGTTGACGAAGATAAGAATAGGGCCCTGAGGGATACTTGCATTATTGTGGAAGGATCTAGAAGAGTGACCATTCAACAAGACTCTTGTAACATGATTTGTTAAGAAAGATTGAACATGTGAAAAAGGCCAGCATGCCAAATACTGTGAAACACCTTCGAGATCTCTAAAGCCACAGGAGTCAGTTCAGGAACACATTTCTTTAGGACAATTGCAGGGATACTATCAAGTTTGCATGCATTGTGCGTGCATGCATGTGTGTGTGTGTGTGTTTGGGGGTGGTTCTAGTTTGTAGATCCCCACAAAGATGGAAAAATACTAGTCAAAAATTAACATCTTTACAAAATTTCTCATCACTGGCATACATATTGAAGAAAAGAATGATGTTGAAATAAAAAAAAAAATTAGATAAGCAGATAAAGACAGACTTTCATTTTGTGTAAGAAGAAGATTCAAACTGTCAAAGAAAGCGATACCAGTATATTCTGAGTTATAATTGCTTAGGCATAAAAATGATATTATATAAGTTAGGATCAAATATGGATTGGAATCCGACAGAATGATAAAATAGGAAACGTTTATCAATTTAAGATGTTTCCTTTTTATTAAAGCTTCATCAGAGAATAAGATATGGAGAAAAAGAAGAAAGAAATTCTGGTATTTTTATTTTTGTGTTGTTTGATTTTCAATAGTTAAATGTTAGTATAATTTATGGCATTTTCAATACAAGGAGAGAATACATGTCCATCCAAAGTTTCAAGAAATTGGCAGATTACGAACCTACCTGAAAAACCACAAATATTACTTTAAGTAAGTGTGTGTCTGTATACTAGACATACACACATACACTTATGAATATGCATTATCATCTGATTCCTACATAGACAAACTAGAATTATTATAGACTTACACACATAAAGCAATATTTACTTTTTCCAGTAGGCTTAGAATTAATTTCCATTAATTTCTTGAAATTCAGATGGACACATTGTCTGTCCTTCAACTTGGAATGTCAAATTATTTTAATGTTTTCAGAGTCAAATGCACATGAAATATGATTGACCAATAAAATTAAAAAAACATAAATAAAAACACTAGAATTTCTTTCTTTTTCTCTCTCTCATATATATATATATATATATATATATATATATGGCTGCTGTTAGCTGTCAATCTATGGGTCATGACTCATTTATAAAAAATAATTTTTAATTTTTGCTTCTTAGTTTAAATTTAACATAAGCCATATTTGATTGGTTGATCAGAGTAAAGCCCTCAAACCTTATAACTTTTTTTTTTTTGAAAAAAAAGGAGGTTGTATTTCGCTTTTAAATCCAAATAAATCGCTCACTTGCCAGTAATTTACAATCGCCTGATGAGATGCTTTGATATGCATTGAAACATAACTGAAATATATATATATATATATATATATATATATATATATATATATATATATATATATATATATATATATATATCAATCAACTACTCCTATTTCTACCACCAGTGACTTGATAACCAGACTATAAAACATTTTCTTACATGTCTGGGAAATTTTTTAAAATAAATATTTATTTTTATAGAATTGTTCCAATCTAAAATACCAAAAAGTGTTTTTTCATGCACAGAGATTTTTTAAAAAACTATATATTTTAGTTAGAGTATAGGAATTATTTTAGTATCTATGCTATACCAATAGTATATTTTGTTAAAGACTGTAATTAGGCATACAAACACGGATGACTTGGAATTGCCACTTATATATATATATATATATATACATTATATGAATATACAGAAAAAACAAACAAAAATCTTAATATGCAATTATGCTGTATTAATGTTTGGATCTATATCCATATATTTGCTTATATATATATATATATATATATATATATATATATATATATATATATATATATGGCCTCTCCCGTGGGTTTCATGTATGAGGATCTAACAACTTAATTGATTCAGTTATCAAATTTTGTGTAATAATCTTTTAGTGGCACTTAAGATAATGTAGATTGGCTGACTTTTTAGATCATACTCTCGCTTCTTGAAGACAATTCAGACTAGCAGATTGAAAACTGCTGAGTCCACTAAAACACATTGATCTCCATTCTACCCACTCCAAGGCTAAACGCTTGAGGGTGTTATGAGGTATATTGACAGCTGACAAGTTGCTTTTCAGCTTGTCTTTGTATCTTAGCCATGGGCGTCCTACATTCCTGTAGCCTTGATCTAACTGGCTGTACATTAGGATCTTGGGTATCCTGTCATCAGACATTCACAAGACATGACCAGTCCAGAGAGAGACTGTATGAGAAAAGTCTCGATTTCTCTAATATTACACCTGTTAAACAGGTCTATTTTAGATGTCCTATCTTGAAGGTTAACCTCACAGATGGCACGCAGACAGCTTTTATGGAAAACATCCAGGTGGCGTGTATGGTACCTGTATGGAGTCCACGACTCTGAGCCGTACAAAAGGATGGCAAGGACAACAGCTCTGTAAACCAGAGTTTTTGTATCCAGTCAAATAACCCGCTCTTTCCACAAATGATGGCGAAGTTTGCCGAAAGCACTGGTAGCCTTAGCAATCTGATGCATGATTTCATCATCTAAAGTTCCACTGTAGTTGATTTTGCTACCAAGATAGGTGAAAGACTTTACATAGTTCAGGGCTTTGTCTTCTACTTTCAATGGTCTCTCTGGAAATTTGTAGAGTGGTGGTTTTTGTTTCTCACCACAGAATTGCTTCGAAGTAGGACAAGGTTGGTGCACTACTTCAGTTTTCTTTATGCTAAGTGTAAGACCAAAGGCTTTACATGCAGCAGGAAAACAATTTATTACGTGTTGGGCCTCCTCAAAGGATGTCACAACAAGAGCAGCAGCATCAGCAAACAAAATTTGTGTACAAAGGTGGTTTTTGTCTTTGAAGCACTGATGATTGAAGAGACCACCAGTTGTTTGAAAGTGAAACTTGATGCTGCTCTCTGTGTTTGCGAATGCATATTTCAGCATCACTGAGAAGAAAAGGGCAAAAAAGACAGGGGCCATGACACACACTTGCTTGGTGCTGTTTGTGACATCATACCATCAGACACAATATTAGCTTTCATTCCTTCATGAAAGGAGATGATGACCTTTAGCAGGTTTTCTGGGATGCTGAGTTTCCTCAAGACTTGCCAAAGAGCCTCTGGATTCAGTGTCAAAGGCCTTCGTCAAGTCCACAAACACCATGTACAACTCTTGGTTATATATATATATATATATATATATATATATTATATTAGGCTGATGAAAGAAATTTGAAAGATAAAAAACAATAATAATAAAACTAATATTTATTGTATATTATTATGTCCTGAGTTCAGATAGAAGCATGATGAGGAAAGATGGTAAAAATCGGAATTTTCAGATGTGTTAAGGGTTTTTATAGATGGCTAATTGTAGTAAACAACTAGCCGAAAACTACTAGATTTCATCAGTAATATAACATATATCCTGCAAAAGTCCAACTTCATCCTATTTCTCACTGAGAAAGAACACAGGCATATATGAAAATTCAGATTTTTTTACCATCTTTGCTAATCATGTTTCTGTTTGGTCTAAAGGCCTAATAATATACCATAAATATTATTAGTCTTATTATCATTATCATTTTTATCTCAAATTTCTTTTATTGGCCTACTATATTTTACATATTGTGGGAAGCATACATTGACAATCTTTTATATATATATATATATATATATATATATATACTAGCAGCATGGCCCAGCGTTGCCTGTGCTTGATTAAAAAATCGTATGACTCATACAGCAATTGCTATCACTTGACTTAAAATATTTTTGCCCTTCCTTGCCTTTAAAGGAGTGCCCTTTGCCGTGCTGATGTTGCTACATGCCTTACTTCTTGCCTATCTCACACTGTGAATTTTTTCTAAGCTCTATACTAAACATTAAATCTGTTATGAAAAAAGAACTAAACAAAATGAACACAAAATGATCAGCTTTAAAAAAGGACTCGTAACTGGAAAAACCAAATGAAAAAAGAATGTTAACAACAAATTCTTTTTCACACCCAACCCAGTTCTGCGGAATCAGAATCAACGTTGGGTTTAAGCAAGCGATTGAGCCAATTGGAGTAAAGTGCCATGCAGATTTAAATTTTTCCCACTTGTGACAAATGCAGCTATCAATTTTTTTTGCATGCTAGTTAACATTCGTGTCAGTCAGCTGTTGGCTCTCAAGCTGGCCAATAGAAAATGGACGCAAACTACATGAAAACTACCGTAGATACATGAAAAAAATCGATTATTTCCACTATCGATGGGAGTTGGGAAATGCAAAGTCGGTCTTGGCCTTCCAGCTAACCTGAAGCATGTGCATGTAAATTTTGGTGCAAATCTGTCGAAAATTGCGGCCGTGCATTTGTTACACACACACTCTGCCTTAAATAGATTATATATATATATATATATATATATATATATATATATATATATATATATATATATATATATATATATATAAATAAACAGGAATTTATTTCCATAGTTCAGAATCAATCAGCTGAAAAGAGAGTATATATAAAAATACTGACCAAAGCTTTCTGTAAGACAGCTACTGAATGCTTCTTTTCATCTAGCTCTAACTTTTGAGACAATACATGACTTGTTATTTCACTGGCAGTCGCAGAGGCATTTTCCAATTTGACTTGGTCCTCAACATGGAGGGGTGGTAATGGAGGTGGTGGAGGAAATCGAGAAGCATCAATGGTTGTTTCCATTTCTGAAGAGACATGGTTGATTTCCTGGAAAAAAAAAAAGAAAGAATAAATTTGGGTGTGTAATCCTGACAGAGTTATAAGTTATTGACATTTGGACAAACATTCATGAAAGTAGGTTATGAAAATGATATCTGATAATGAATTTTGCCTCTACAGCTTCTTCAGATGGATAATGAAAAATGTGTGGTGTGTGTATACATTAGTGTGTGTTTAACATAATTAAATCTTTTATTATTTTTCTCAGGCTGGTATTGCTTGAGATTAAAAAAAAAAAGAAAGAAAAAAAAGAAAGAAAATGAATAATATGAATGATAATAAAGAAAAGGAATTTGCGGAGAAGGCAATGGAAAAACCACTCCACTATATTTCCCAAGAAAATATGCCAATTTCCAGACAATAGAAAAGGAATCTGTGGTGAAGGCAACAGGAAACTACTCCACTATCTTTCCTAAGAAAGTAGGAAAAGTCCTACCTAATAAGGAGAAATCTGTTGAAAGTCACGATCACCGATGTCCTGAATGGACATGGCATTTTTAAAATAAAACCATGAAAATGATTCTAATATCTATTGATGATGATCAGAGAATAGCTAATTGAATGAGATTTAAAATAAATAAATACATTTTTTAATGAATTTTCTTAAATATTTAAAAACTCTTTATCATCATTAATTTATAAAAATATTAAAGTATAGGATTAAGAGCTTGAGAACATTAAAAAAGAAAAAAAACTACTGAATATCAAATAAAAGAATTTGTTCTTACACTATCTATATGTGTAAAGCGGTCAGCAGTTTGTACTTCATCCAGGAAAGAAATGATACTTTTTAGTTTATCATTTGATAAAAAACCTGCTCCCCCACTGGCTGTGGATACTGCATTTTGATCTTGGTTTAACTGCTCAAGTCTTTCTGCAGTCAAATAGGGACTTTGAGGGTTACCATTTGTGTCTTGGGCAGCAGCAGCTGCAGCCACTGTAGGGATGCCAGGGGTTGGGGGAGCTGGAGCAGCACCAATGCCATTGACTGATGTGTTTGGTATTTCACCTGTAAGTAGAAAAAAAAATTCAATATACTTTTAAAGAAAGATTTACTTCATACAAAAAATACCAAAAACTAATTATATATTAAATATTCTTCTTCTCTCAATAAAACTTTACTTAGAAACCTTTTCTGATCTGGGAAGGAGGATTTTGAGAATTTAAACCATATAGAATATACTGATGGCAAAAAGGGTAAAGAAAAACAGCAAGTGATGTTACAGAATGCAGAGTTAGGTCCAGAATGGTCGGAATACCTAGTGAGCATAGACTTATGACAGTGATGGATTGCCTTTGTGGATATAAGACCAAAATGGTACAAAGTCATCAGAAGGCTACCAGAATTTTAAAGTGTCAACACACTTCTGCAACCAGATTCCTTAGAGAGGCTAATGCTTCATGTGGTGGAATTCTAAGCCAATAAGTGGACATACATTTCTCAGAAGTTCTTCCTCCTGCTACTTCCTAGAATTGATGCTATGTCTGTCCTTCTCATGCAGTAAAATGAATAAGAAAAAGAAACCATCTTTTGTTGATACAGGCTATGAAGTGGTGTTGGGGTCTGAAGTGCAGAAGCCAGTGGTGACATGGAATGCAACCTATCAAGTTTGAGTAAATGGATGACAAAACAGGGAAAGATGGTATAGGAACAAATGATGCTTAGATTTACAAAGGGCAGGAAGCTATGGAGAGCTATGATCACCTATATCTTGATGGGACATGGTACATAAAAGAAAAAAATCAGTAGCACTGTTTACATTATTAAATTCAAATTATTATTTTTAGAAACTTGCACAAACGTGCTCTGTAATCATTTTAAAATTTATCCTTTGTAGCTATGGAATATTTTGCAAAACAAGCATTTCAATATAAGTAAGCTGACTGGAAATTGGTAGAAATTTAAACTGGCATTAAATATTATATGTATCTTAATATGTTGTTGCTATATTTGTCATAAATTTTGTTGAGTCTTGGTTGGTTGATAATTATTCTGGTATAATTCAAACCTCATAATGCTCCCAAAACTTCCAAAATAACAAAACAAAATATCCTCAAACTTACGAGAATTTTTATTTACATTCATTTTTCCTGTTCCCAATTTCTCATCTTCTTCCAATTTCTTGAGTGTTTCCAGCAAATCACTTAGAGTACTTTTGGTGGCGGCTTTTGAAGGCAAACCATTTTTACTGGCAATCACTGAACCAGTAACAATGCTATGATCTGGACTATGGTCATTTGATGGTGGCTCAGCACAGAATGGAAGATGACCAGAAGACTTTGTAACTTGAACAATAGCTGAATTGGCTGCACTAACTAATTTGGAAGTTTCCTGAATTAAAAATAAATGTCATAGGAAATAAATGAAATAGTGAAGAGAATTTGGAATTTTGGGCAACTAAATATACAAATGCCTATTTCTGCAACAAGATGATTTCAAGAAATCCTGAAATAAACAAGAAAGTGTTTTCAAATTTTCTTAAAGATTACCTGCATCTAAAAAGATCTGCAGAATAAGCTGAGAAAATCCCAGTTACTGAAATAACAAAAATGAAGATACAGATATACCTCAGATTACGTCGTTTCGAGTTAGTTGTTCTCAATTATACACTGTTCGTCAAAAAATATATGGAAAAATATAAATCAAGTTTAAGTCATTTTATTTGACTTTACATTTGTCTGCCACAAATACTGAAGTTGTAATAACACTTGAAAAGCATTAAAAGCACATAAAATCATGTTACAATAAATAAGAATAAAAGTATATAAAATCATATTAAAATACATACATTTACAGTAAATGTTAATATAATCATCATAAATCCTAGAGAATGAAATATGAAAACATCCGTGACTCTGTGTTGTAGTCTTTAAGAGCTCTATATTGGGGTTTTCCACTGTAGGTGGATTAATAGGTTGAATCATCAGCGTTGCTTCTATTAGTCAAGAAATCTTTCAAGCAAAAGTGTTGTCTTTGTTTGAGGACCTGAACAAAAATACCCAGATGAGAAAGATGTAAAGTTTAAAGCGAGTCAAGGCTGGTTTATGAGATTTAAAGAATGAAGAAGTTATCACTCTATTAAGAAGCAAGGTGAAAGTGCATCAGCTGACGAACAAGTAGCAGCAGATTTTTCTAAAGCATTGGCTAAGATCATTGAAGAAAACGGGTTTCTTCCTGAACAGATTTTTAACATTGACAAAACTGGATTATATTGGGAAAACTTGTCAGACTGTTCTTTCATTGCTAATGCTAAGCGTAAGGCTAGATCTTTGACAAATTATTTTATTCAGAATACTGTATGTACATATGAGAAATACTGTAATATGCAATGGGGAGTGCTTATTTGCGGATTATAGTGTTTTTTTGTTTTTTTTATTTACCTGTTGTGATCCCTGGAACCAATTAATGACCCAGGCTGAGGTATACCTGTACTAGTCAAAATAATTCATGAAATAATGACATTATCTTTGAAAATGTGAGGAACAGAACCAATGAAATTCATTTAGACAAGAAATGAAATGAAAATTCAGATCAGCTTACCTTGAAAAGCTCTTCAAGTTGGTTATCACAAGCCTCAGTCATTTGCAATTCTGTAAGGTGATTAAAAGTATTGCCTGACTCTAACATACCAGCAGCTGAAGGTCTTTCTTTAGGGCTAACATTTTCACAACCAGATGATAATTTAGCAGTCCTTTGTTTGTCTGATGGACTTGACTTTTGAGATTCTGCATTGCCATGGCGCACAATCCTTGGCGTACAAGTACCATTGGTCATAGGAGTATTAGCAGCAGGTTGCTTATTTCGGGCACCTGTGTTGCAACTATACAAGTTGGAGGGCTTCACAGACGTTGTGATTTTGCTACTTGTTTTGGTAGAGACAGGAGAAATGGCTGAATATTTGGCCACTTCCATTTCTGTTTTTTTGACATTTCCTTTCTCTGTACGTTTTCTTTGCATATCCTAAAAGTAAGGAAAAAAAAAAAAAAAAAAAAAAAAAAATGGATGGAATAAATGGAATTTTCACAAGAAATATTACTAAATTCTGGTTCTTCCCAAAATTTCCGTATCATATTTTGCTTTGTTTTTGTTCTTTATTTCATATTAAATCAATAAGCATGTTACTAGATTGGCAATTAGGTCTCACCATTTTACTGTTGAACTAGTTAGATGCAACTGCCATTTCTATTCTAACAGCTTTTTTTTTCTCCTCACACTTCACACCAGTTGAACACCCTTCCAATTTCTTGCTTCCATGATAGCTACAATCTTTATAAATTTAAATGCAACATCAATCGCCACATTCCATCTTATTGAACCCTGTTCCTTTTCGTCCTTTCTTTAATCCTCCCCATTCTTCATCTGCTCATTCTTTCATTTTCCTTCCCTGTAGTCCCCTTGCACTAGTGTGAAATGATTAAAAAAAAAAAAAAAAAAGAAGCTAAATGTTAAGAAAGATTATACAAAAAAAAAAAAAATCATGTTTTTGGATAGAGTGTAAGATAGCATATTAAATGTGTTTTCAATTTCTCAAATACAAGTTTATTGGATAAAATTATCTGAAGACAATTGTTAGCACAATGTTTTTTGTTTATTTTTTTTAGTTTCATAAGAATAATATAAATAGCTTAAGTGATTAGATATATTGTGTAATGACTGAAGAAAAAGAGATTTAATTCTTTGGTTCATATAAGAAATAAGAAAATATAAGTAATCTTTATTAAATGATTTTAATTTAAGGATTCAAAATATTATTTTTGTTCACAATTGTGAACTGGTTAATTCCAAAGGTTAATGACACTTTAAATAGTAAACATAAGCCCATGAATATGTAAGAATGCAAAAGACGATTATCTCCCTTTGGTTGAGATGAAGTTACATGACTGCTGGTTAGTGATGTCAGGTTATAGATTGATGAAAATGGTCAGTCGTCAGTCAGTTAGCTTCCAAGAGTCAAACCAAGCAGTTACTTTTTTTAGCATGGGTGAGGCTTTGCCACATGGAGCAGCTCACAAGCCCAAGGTGCCATTTTCTCATCGGAAAAGATGTCCTACAGACAAAAACTGCTTGAAACCTGAAACCTACTAGAAACTATCTCTGGCTTGCAGTCTTCATGTTTTGGAAATACCCATGACTTGTCATTTTCCATTTTGAGAAATATATCCTTATGCCACAGAAGATAAATCTGACCTGATCGAATCCCTATATATAATAGGGATTCGATTGGGTCAGATTTATATTGATAAATATTGTTGCACTACATGGCTTCACTGTTTGCCTGTTTTGGCTAAATATGGGTTATCCAGGAACATAGAAATAAAACCTCCAATATCTTGAATTCCTGTTGGGAATTAATACAAGTAAGACTATATCTCTGTCATTTTCACAGAGCTTGTTATTGCATACATGTGTTATAGTTTCTCAGCATGGGCCAAATGTAAATGTTTGTATATAATTTTGTGTATTGCTTAGCGGTATAAAACTGAGAAGAAAACATGTTTGTCATTTCTTTTCTTTCAGCTATATTGTTCTGTCTGTGTATTCAGGTGTTATTATATTATGGATATAATAAGGCCCATAATGGGAGAAATGAAAACTGCAAATATCCCTTTCTTGTATAGCACTCTATTAAATATTTGAGTAAATTTAAAAAGAAACTTGTATACATATACACTTTATGGTTAGCAACTTGAGTAAATTAATCTTGTAATCTTGTATGAATATATAATTATAAACAAGCTTTTTTGACTAATTTTTTAATCATATCTCCTCATGTTGGGAAAATACCTATGACTTGTCATTTTCCATTTTGAAAAATATATCCTTGCTAATGACAGAAGATAAATCTGACCATTGTGACCATATATGAATATATAAACAAGAAGCTATTTTGATTGTTTTAATCATATTATGACTTTAAAAATGGACATTTTAAAAACTGTATATCAATGTATACACCAATATATGAAAATGGGAGAGGATTATTGAATGATTTTTTTTTTTTTTTTACAGCTTATCAAATCTTTTTGGGTTATTCAAAGGCAAAAGATATTTTGGATTGTAAGAATAATTTTTTTTTTGCGAGTGAATACTGAATTAACAATTTTCTTTAGAGACAATTACTTACTTAAAAGTGGCAAATTGAAAAATTTATAAAGAAAGAAAATGTTTAGTTTCTTTTTGTCGTTTTTTGGTTGTTTTGTTGCATTTTTTTGTTAATTTCTCACTTTTTTTTCTTTAAGCTTTTCACCCCAAGCAAGGTGGGAGTGCCACTAGCATGCAAGGGGTTACAGAGAGTGAGAGCAAGAGTAAAGAGGCGTGATAGAGGAAAAGATGACAGGGAATAGATCAAGGCATAATGATTGACACTGCATTTGAATAGTTGGAAATTACAGCTATCAGGGAAGCAAGTAAGAGGAAGGGAGTTCCACAGATGGGAAGTGCGAGACATGAAGCTATTGGAGTAGAAGAGACGGCTACATTTAGCCGTTTCAACAGTGAAATGGTGTGACTGAGATGCCAACCTAGTAGCATGTTTAAATTCATGCAGTTTGGGAACTAGTGAAAGTAGCTCGTTGGAGTAGTTACCATGAAAGTATTTGTAGAAAAGACAGAGGGAAGCAACTGTAAATGAGATGCCAGGTCAGGGCTAACCACTTTGCATATCCGTCTCTGAATTTTGTCAAGGACCTTAAAATGAACAGCGGGACTCCAGGCCATATATGACAGCAGTATTCCATGCAAGGGCGAATAGTTGATTTATAGATTTGAAGGATGGACTCTGACAAGAAAAACTTTCTGGTGCGACACAGAGAACCAACTTTCCTTGTGGTAGATGCAGCTATTAATTCAACGCATTTGTTCCATCTCAGGTAAGCAGACAATGTGAGACCAAGCAGTTGCAAAGAGGTGCTCTCATGGAGTTGAGCATTGGTAAGCAATTGTTTTCCGTGTACATCCTTCCACTAATTCAATATTGTTCTCAGGCTAACATTTTCCACTGACATAAAGTAAAACAATTATATTGAATCAATTATCAAGTTTGCTGCTATAAAAAGTACATTCACTGTGTCATGCCAGACAATTTTCCTCAGCAGAATCATTCTTATACCTTTATAAGTCGACCATCCATCTATTGAATATTACCTCCACATCTGGTCTCATGCTTCTGCATCTTGAGATTCTCAATAAAATCTAAAGAAAAATCTGTAATGTTATTGGTTCTGACCAGGCATCTTGGGTTCAGTAACTTTATCACTGCCATAACATAGCTTCCCTGTACCTTTTCTATAAATATTTTCATGCTAATGCTTCTGGTGAGCTTTCCTCTTTGGTACCTCAACTTTATGCATTTAAGTGCAGTACAAGATTGGCATCTAAATTTTACAGTGGAAATTGCTAGATGCAACCATGAGTTCTATGCTAACAATTTCTTCTTTTGCACTTATTTGTGAAACTCTTCAGTCTTTTCTTGTTTTCCAGTCGACATTGGTCTTCAAAAATTTAAATGCAATGTCAATTTCAATCATCTTCCATCTCCTCAATTACTGTACTTTTATTATGCTGTCTTTAATAATGTTTTTTTTTCTAAGATTCTAGTAATACTTGCATCTTAGTGGCATTACTACCTTCCTTCAGGTGAATTGATTAAAAAAATAAAAATTTGTATATAGGTTAATATATTCAGTCTGTCTGAAGTTATTATGCAAATCACGTAAACCTCAATAACTCGAATTTGCTTTGAACAATTTTTGTTCGTTTGAGTGATTTGTTTCCTACAGCTTATCAACCCTTTGCAGGTGATTTAAAACCAGAAAATATTTATAGATTGTAAGAAGTTTTTTTTTTTTGAGATGATAATGGTTTAGTGATAAAAGTCTTACTAATTAACCCATAGCTGGAGGGAGAAGAGGTGAATTCATATCTTTCCCAAGGGTAATTGTGCATAAGTGAATATAATGAACCCAATGTGAATTGAAACTCAGCTCTCTGATTAACAATTCCAAGCCATCATCTCTTATACCACCTGCACATCCCAGTTTACAGCATCTGGTATTCCCAAGTGGCACCCATCTAGGTACTGACCAGGCTTGACATTGCTTAACTTTGGTGATCATATGAGAATCTGTTTCAATGTGATGCGAATGTAAGCCTGAATATTTTTTGTCAAATTTTAATTTAGACATCAAAAACAAAGCTTGAGTTAAATTTTTAGGTAGTTTTAACATGTTTTGTTAAAGTTATTGGATTTATCATGAAAACGGCAATATTAGTTTAAAGCCTCTGAAATCTAATAAAAATTATTTTTTTCCATAATATATGTTGAAACATGGTTAATGGAAATGATCTAAATGCTGAAAAACAGAAAATAACAAAGTTATCGAGTGAGGGAATGTCCACATTGGAGATATCAAAGGAGCTTTGCAGAGATTATTGAATGATAAAGAAATCTGTTGAAAATACAAGTACTTGAAGCAAAGGAAAAGGCCTGAAGAACTTGTTGCCTTGAGAGGGACATAAACTAAAGCAAGTTATAGAGAAACAACCACTTTGACCAGTGCTCAAATCTTTGAACAGGCTTGAGTGAGTCAAGAAGGACAAAAAGTGTAGAATACTTTCCAAATTGGGATATTAAGAAATCTCCTAGGCAAACTCCTCTCAGTAAATATTTTAAAGCATCAAAACTGGGCCAAGAAATACATGAAAATTGACTTTTCTAAAGTAATTCTCAGACAGATCTCAGATGACACTCAATGGACCTGATGGATGACCCAAAGGATGAAGGTGTTAAAATGAACAGTGCTAACTATTGCAATTTCATGGATAAGACTTTCTTTGAATAGTACAACTCCCAGCCTAAGTGTGCATTTATGCATGGCAATGCTCCTTCTCATGTATCTAATGTTACCCATGAATCTTTTGAGCATAGACAGTTTACAGGAGAAAAGGTAATGGAATGGCCACTAAGTCCTGATATGAATCCAATCAAAAATATATGGTCAACTATGAGTATGAAATTATATACAGGTGACAAACAATATGATAGCAAAGCAGGCCTATGAGAAGCAATTAAAATCATTATCTCGGAAATTGAACCTGCTGAAGTAAAAAAAATTTAACAAAATCAATGGATCATAGATTGCTGGCAGTTATTGAGAAGAAGGTTGACCATATTGAAATGTAAACACTTCAAAGGCTTATCATATATCTGTCTATATTTCTGAGATGAAGTATTATTTACATTATTCGGACTATTGTCCTCATCTTTGTTGCCATATTTATCACAATGTTTCAACCATTGTACGCTCCGGCCTTAAGGACATCTGTGTATGAATTTCTGGGACTTATAAATTTAATGTCTTCAGCAACCTTTTTACCAGTGCTCATATTGCAATTTTTGCCGTTATCATTGTATGTTTTTTTACCAGAGCTCATATTGCAATTTTCATTATTATTGCTTTTCTCTAGTACCCCTTATTACTGGTTCCCATATTTGTATTCATTTCTATGCTTGGTTGGCTCAGGAGATTTTTGTGGCCTAGCGTATGCACTGATTTCTTAAGTTTACGAATTTTCCAATGATGTTCTTTGTCTATGATTTCAACCGGATCCCCCAGAGGGTGGTGATCTCCCTTTTCTCTCCATATATGGTTAGCCACACCTGATTTTTCCACTTCCCCTCATGTTACAGCTTTTGGCATTCTTGAAGCCTTACCTTAAGGGGGCAGCTGGCCTCCCCTTTATATTTCTTTCCGCAGTTGCATAGGATTGCGTACACAGTCTTTAGTCATGTTCTCTTCTATTTTATCTGCGAAGTGTCGTCCAGCTTTTGAAGGTTGTCCTGATGTTATATGGACTGAAGGTCCTTTGTATTTCTCTGCTAACCCCTTTACATAAGGCAGGCAGGCTGTTTTCTGAGTGTTGTTGTCCTCCTCGTGTACCCACCTATCCCAGTTTATTGGGGCTGCTGCCATGTACCCAAGGTAGTTGTTACATTGTAGGGTACTGCTTATGTTGACCAATTCTTTATCTAATGTCTCTGGGTCACTACTTATGACTTTTGCTCGGTGTTGTAAGCAGCAGACAATCCCTTTCATTACCCTGTTTGGACGGATGAGGCACTCTCCGTAGTCAGAGACAGATTGGCCTCTGACTCATCTCTAGGAGAACAGAACGGTATTCCAATAGATAATCTGATGGAGATGTTGACATTCTGTACACAAACAACACACTTCGGAATGGGATGAAAACAATTAGGCTTTGAATTTAGCTAACATTATGAAGCCATAAAACCTTTGGGAAAGGTACCAATCCATCTCTTCTCACCTCCAGCTATGGATTAAATAGAAGAGGCGAATGAAGAGAACAGTAACCAGCGAGTAAATTCAAGCTCTCCCAGCTGGTATTTCAACCTTGAGTCGTTCCTTCTTGAGTTCTGTCTCCAAATCACACTAACTGCCCGTTCTTGCCGTCAACCGTGAACGTCCCTCGAAGAACTCCTCGACTCGGAAAAAAGTAGTTGTTTTTATAATGTTCATATACCCATAATCCCTTGCGTCTTCACGTGATCCCATAATTCATTGCGTCCATGTCCCATAATGCATTGCATCGTTATTGCATAAAAATGCGATGCCAGTCCCCCCTCATTCTTTTACGTTATCTGGCCGAGGATGGATTACGGCAGAGTGGTAAGTGCTTTTTCTCTCCCTCATTTCAACTGCAGTAGCTTTACATGCTAAGCAAATACGGGCTCTTTTTTGGCGAGGACAAGGCAAGTCGCGACCAGTTGTGCTCATCCCAGGTTCTGTCTCATGTCCGCCACAGCAGACAAGGCTTGCTAGCCATGGTTGATAACCAGTCTAAGAAATTCAAAACTCAGCCACCTGAAGCTGTACAAAGATTGTTAAACATGAAGTGTAGATACTATGTCTGTAAAATAAAAATGCAATAGATTTCAACAGCTAAGGATAATCCCACTGGAAAAAGATTATCCTTAGTTGTTGACACCAATAAGCCCTAAGAAGGTCATAGACAAAGTTTAGAACAATTTTTTTTTTCAACTGAAGGAATTACATTATATACCAGGAAATATAGTATTTTTTTTTAATGCAAACTCACCTGGAAAGATGAAGCCAAGTTTCAGCTGAAGACATATGTTAAAAAAAAAAAAACCCCAAAAAAACAAAACCTAAGCAGCATCTAAACAGTAAGTGTAATAAAATAAATCGACATTGCCTACCAACAGGACTAAGTTACCTTAACTGCTTCCAGTCGGACTTCTTTAGCTTTGATCTCTTTCAAGAGTTTCTTTTCCATTTGTTTTTGTTCCATTTCTTGTTTTTCCTGCTGCTCTTGTTCAAGTTCACGTTGTTGCAATTCAATTTTTTCCTGACGTTTCTGATTAAGTAAACGTTTCATGGCAGCTTCACCGGCTTTCTTTCGTACATAATGTCGGCGATACCAGCGTTGAATTTTATTGGCTGCATTAATTTGGATTTGTTGGCTAGAGTTTTCCTTGGAATTAGTTTTGGCTTGAGGAGCAGCAGCAGCAGTAATGGGACTGGAGTCTGCAAGCACCAAGCTCTGTAATTCCATTTGGTTGGACTCTTTTCTGACCTAAAGAAACATTTAAAAAACTACATCAGAAACACACCTACATATGACACAAACAAATTATGCCGTGAATTTTTTTTAACATCAACACTCTAAATTAAAATTTACTAGACACAAACTGTCAATGCTTGTGATATCACAGGTAGGATTTCTTTAACACATTAAAGCTTTCATTTATTACAACAGTTACACACCAATTTCTGTCTGAATTTCTAGAATGAGGAGTTATTTACATTTGAACTAATGTCCTCATCTTTATTGTTATTACCACAATAACAATAACAGATAAGATTAAAAGTGTTGGTTTATGGAATAGTGGAATAGTAATTGTGAGTTAAATCCCTGAGCTAGGGAGTATAGATGCAATGGAAACCATTCTGAATAATACTAACAAAAGAGAAAAGAAAAGACAGACAAGATACCTGCTAGACAGCAGCTGTTTATAGATCTGAGTAAACTTGTCCTTTTTAGTACTGCTCAGTTATTGCTCATCCTGTTTCCAGAAAATCTGAGTTTATACAATCCTGTTAATGTTATTAATTTTTAACTTGTTTTCTTTCATCATATATAGTTGCTTTAGTCATTTTTTTTACATTTATTCTAAAAACCGTTTAGTAGCCTTCCAATAACAAACTTCCAGTAAGATTTGAACTTGCATCCTTTATCATTAAAAGCTTCTTTTTATTTACTTTTTTTTTTTTTATTCATCATCAAAACTGCATATTTAACACTTATACAATCAAGATAAAAAAATGACTTGAACAAGGCAACAGATTAAGCATAAAAATCACTTAAAAAAAAAGTTAATGATGATTCTTCACTGAAGAAAGTCAAACAAGTAAGACTATTATATCTACTACAAATAACTGTAAACAAGTGAAATTAGTCAAAAATGAATAATGACAATGTAAGAAGTTCAGATAACTTAAGTTTTGTTGATGATTTTTTTTGTTTTATAATAACTGATTGTTTTCTTTTCACTCAACACCCTTGTGGGTTATTTAAAGCCAGAACATTTTGGATTATAAAAATAATTGATTTTTTTCTTTTTTTTGTGTGTGTGAATATTTTATTAAAATATTTTTGAGATGATTTTATCAGATACAAGTCCTACTATTTAACCTATAGCAGTGGGAGGAGATAGATTCATACCTTCCCTAAGGGTATTTGTGAATGTAACAAAACCAATTGGAATTTGAACCGAGCTCTCCAATTTCAAATTCTGAGCTACACTTCCACACATTCATCTTATAATAAAATCCATGAATTTTCCAGAAGAATTTGGGGCCATTCTCAAATTTGGCTTCTTGTAAAAATCATTGCAAATTTTGCTTGTTTCTCAAGTTACAAAGTCATGGAACAGTAATAGATTCTTAGCATTAATAGAAAAAAAGCCATATCTTGTTCATACAATCTATATTCAACATTTTAGGGAAACAAACATTCTCTGAATTAATCTCATTACTTAACAACAGCGACAATGCCACTTTACATTAAAAGAATTTTCAAGAAACATAAATACACACACATACGTGTGTGAATAAAAACAAAAAGAAATTTTATCTTAGCCAACACATTTCATTCTCTGATGGATTTTATCATGGCAAATGTCCATCAGAGGACGAAACAAGTCAGCTAAAATAAGTTTTCCTTGTCTTTATTCATATTGTCTTTTTAGAGATATTTGTAGTTATATCTAAAATTTTATATATACTAGAATTTTTTGCAACACGCAAGTTGAAATCCTCACAGTATTTAGTATTGTTGAAGTTATTGCTAACATTTTTTTGTCGAGATTTACAAACTCTACATTTCGTTCAATTTCAAAAGCCAGTTGATGAAATTTGAATAATCTGATTCGTTTGAAAAAATACTTTAACAAAAACCCTACTTCACGGTTTTTACACACCTTGTAAAAGCAGCTGTACTTTATAAGCCCTTATCTCTTTGCACTTGTACCCAAAATTTGGTCAATGTATGACTATATTAGAGGGTATGATGGATGGATTAACTAACATGTATGTATATGCATATATATATATATATATATATATATATATATATATATATATATATATATGTGTGTGTGTGTGTGTGTGTGCAGGATGTATAATAATATTTGAAACTAAAGTAAAGATGAGGAAAAGGGGAAAATCTATAAATTACATGTTTCATTGAGAGCATCTGCTCTCTCTGGCTTATTTAGGTTAGATTGAAGGAAAGACAAAACTGTATGTATGGAAAGATGCATTGGAGTCATTGAGGATAAGTGAGGGCCATAAATCACATTACCTTATTGCATCCATGGCCAGAATAAAGAGAGTATTTGTCTACCAGTTAATTTTATATATAATGTATTAGAGCCATTTGGTGTTATTGGATTTTGATTCAGAAGCCAGAGAGAGCAGATATTCTCTGTGAAAAGCATATATATGATAAATTGGTAAAAAGTTTTTGGTTGTATGTTTCATTTGTTAGGAGATGAAGTCTAAACGAATGAAACATGTCACCAAAAACTTTTTCCAATTTGTCATACATCTTTTCTTTGAAAACTGTCCTTGATATATGAAAGATTTGTATATTGTTATCGCATTGGAAAAAATCTTTGGAAATGATGATGATGATTTATTGCTACAAGTCCTAACAATTAAAGGAGGGGGAGAAGAGGTGGATTCATACCTTTGCTGAGGGTATTTGCACATGAGTGAATATACCCAATTGGAATTGGAACTCTGCTCTTTGATCTCTAATTGTGAGCCATATTCCCAGCGGTCACCTATCTAGGTACTGACCAGGCTCAACATTGCTTAACATTGGTGATTGAATGAGAAATAGTGTTTCAATATGATCTGGCCATAAACATGTGCTTCATTAAAATAGTAGCTTTATGGATACACACACACACAGTGTGTGTGTGTGTGTGTAATGAAGTAGTCAATAAAATTAAAGGTGACAAATCTAGTTGTCATATACAGGACAGAGTAAGCATTCAGAATCTCACATTCAATATACCTGATTGACAGGAGTTTTGGGTTTGATGTTTCTATATGAGTTTTCAATGCTGGAAAGAGATGCTTTAGCCTGTGGGGACATAGCCTGTGAAGTCATGTTGTTAGCAATACTATTCAGGCTGTGGGACTTCTGTGTGAATTTGCCCAATGAAGGGCACTGACTGTTGAGCAATTCTCCATCTTCTGAGAGGTAAGGACTGCTTCTAGGTTGATTGTCCGGTAATCTATTAAAATAATAAAAGCTATTATTATAAAAGAAATAATCTTTGCTCAAAATTGTTGTGAAATTCTATTATTATAGAATTCAAATCTCATACTCAGATAAAAAGAAAAACATTGTAAAATTAGGACATACCAATAACCAAGTGATCAGCAGTTATAATAGAGATTTTAGATGGAGGCTTTTGTCAGTTAAAACAAAATAAAATTTTGGCAAACTTGGACCTTTGTCAAAAGATGTTTTTTCCTTGACACTGCTATTATTTTAACTACCTTCACTCCTCAGCAATTCTTATTGTTTTAAAAAGCAATGATTAGAATTGTAAGGGTTCCCATTTCTTCACACTATTTATTTATTATACTGTTTATTAGAATGGTTGGCAAAACAGCTAAATTGCCTAATGATTCAATCTTTATAAAATGGTAAATAAAGACTTCCTTATAGTTGCTTAACATATTTTAATTTAGTAAATGTTTATAAATTTATGAATAAAAAATTGTTTTCATGTTTATTTCTTTATAGATTGGTAAATGATAACTATTGCATTGCATTAGTTATAATTGTATTAGTTTTTAGATTGTTGTAAATATAAATTTATTCTTGTAAATAAACAATCTAATAGTGTTTAATATTTTTGTTGTAAATTCTCAAGAACAAAAAAAATTGTACAAATTCCCATTCATCATACATTTTATGACAATTCTAATCATCATTTTAAAAATGATAAACATTGCCAAGGAGTAAAGTTATTTAAAATAATAGTGATGTCAAGGGAAAAACCATCCTTTTAACACACCATTTTTTTGGCAGACATGAAGGTCCAAGATTGTTGAAACATCTTTAAAAGCACACTGTTTTCACAAGATAAATTCACTTTCATGTTTAGATTTTATTACAATTCTAATTATCACTTTTTAAAGCAATAAACTAAACAAGTCTTTCATAGGGTTGCACTCAATAGTTTGAGTACATAATATACAAAATATTTTTACACATTTTAAGATTACACAATTCTGGAATAAATTTCTGATTTTGTGATATTAAAACTACTAAATTAAATCAATCTATAAATTTTAATTTTCCTTTCAAATTAAAAAAAAAAAAATCAATATCTCCTATAGCAGTAACAGCATTTTGAAACTATTGTCTAACCAGGTCAAGTAGTTATGAGAGAGTAGATTTCCCAAGTGCTCACTCACCCACAGTTTTCCCTAGCAACCAAATGACATTTTGTCCAGAATCTGACAATAGGACAATATACAAGAGAGAGTTGATTCATGCTTTTCTTCAATGTGTTAGTGTAAAATGAACAACAGCAGTATCAACCAAAATTTAGGATTGACTAATTACTATGAAATTGCTGAAGGAAACAAGCCAAATTCTAAAGGTTTCTTTTGATCAAGTAGCAAAAAGCTTTAACATGCTACATTAGTCACTTTATTTATTGCTGTATTCCCTATCCCACTGCACATGGTAGCACCAGCATACCTGCTCTTAAAAATTAGCATTTGAAATGTCAACTTTTTCCTTGTGCTGAAAAACAAAACAAAAAAAAAGAAAGAAAAAAAATTGTGGCATTTATGGAAAATACACATCTACCTCAACCAGGAAGCAGACCATGTTAACATTTTCACTGCTGCATTGTTATATCATTGTTACTTAGCTGTGCTGTCTCGTTTGGGGAGAAATAGGAAATTGCTATTTACTGGAAATAAATGATTATAAAGACACCAATTTCTCATCAGTACTGCCATTTTAGTTTTGATTGTATACTCTACAGTACAGACTAAGCTAAAAAAAAAAAAAAACCTCGACCAACACACAAATTAATAAAAATACATCACAAAACAGGTTGCATTATATGCTACTAGATTTTTATGATGGTTTGGAAATAGCACTAAGTGCTAGTGAGTTTTTTTTTTTAACACAAACACTAGACTTTTCACAATATCTTTTAAAATGTATATATACAATGACAGCAGGTAATGTCAATTTTGTAAAGCTGTATAAGTACATCCAGAGCAGACAAAGTGTTAATAAACTTATATTAATATTGCACTTAATGAGGAACAAAGTCACTACAGTAATAACAGTCTATGATATGAGCTCTTTAACCATATTTCGTGGAGAGGAATAAAAAAAAAAAAAAAAAAATCATGTTAAAATGTGATATTTGCAAGCATTATTTATAGGGACTTTTTAATTATATAATTATAAGACTTTTTAAAAAATTCTAAAACACATTACAATAATTTACATTATTCAGACTACTGTCCTCATATTTGCCGCCATATTTATTAAGTTTCAACCATTGTACACTACGGCCTTCTTCAGGTGGTTGGAATGTCGAACTGAACCCTTTATTTCGCTCACTTGGGTAGACTGTTCTAGTTCCACATGCCATGTTTAATGGATGTCAGTTGTCAGTTATCTCCTGTTAATTCCCCTCTCCAAGTTCTCCACTGCTTTAACTTTGAACTCACACTCTTTGGGTCCTGTCACTGGATGTAACTAACACCTTTATCCACTGCGCCATGTGTCCTTGAAATATAGACAGATACATTACAATAACTTAAATAAAAAGATTTTAGATGTGATAGTCCCCATTATTGCCGAAGCTTTGCAAAGCAATAAACTCATTCCAGAAAGAAGAGCTATCCGCTTCGTTAAAGCAGGTTCAAAAGCCGAGTAAGAAAGTTGCAGGATCCCATTCACTGTTATCGTCTGCGCCGGATTGGCAGATATGGGTTGATCTTGGGAAAGTTTGAAATTCCCTACACATGTACCGACCTCCAAACTCCGTCCAGACATAATTGTTTAATCAGATGCCACGAAACAGATTATTTTGCTGCAGTTAACTGTCTAATGGGAGGAGCATATATAAGAGGCATTTGAAAGAAAGCACAGTAAATATCAAGGACTCTTAGACGATTGTAGAACTAAAGGATGGCGTACTCATTGTTTCCCGGTTGAGATTGGATGTAGGGGGTTCGCTGGACAGTCAATGATACGAGTCCTTACTAGCTTAGGGATAACTAAACAAAAAAGAAGGTAGGCGATTCAAATGATCCTGGAGTCCATTGAAAAGGCCACCAGGTGGTTGTGGATTAATAAGGCTAATGAGTGGCCCAAAACTACCTAAAAATGCAAATGTTCCCTGCATAGATGAACAAACGTCGTAAGTACCACCACTAAATATTTTTAAAAGCTTAAAAGTATATATAGATTTGTATTTAAGTATGATAAAATTGTATATATAGATGGCAAGAAGCTTCAAAGAAACACAGGGTTTTTAAATAACTTATTCGAGTTGCATGATTACGTTAGTTACATTCAGTCGCATGTTCAACGACTTCATCGTTAAGTTTTACTGTTCATTCAAGTAGATTCATTTTAATTGCACAAAATATTTTTACATGTAATCTTTCCTTTTCTCGCAATTTTTTTTTTGTAATTACCCATTTTTCGAGGTTTTTTCGTATTTACTCGTTTTTTTTTTTTAATCAGTTTCCATTAAGGACAATTTTTAGGAATAACTTATTTTAAGTAAAATTTACACATTATTTTTTTTTTCTTTTTTAACTAGTGTTCAACAAATATTCAATAAATATCTTGATTAATTTATTTTAAGCAATTTTAGTTAAATGTTATTTCTCTTAGTTTTTAAACGAAATTTCTTAGATTATCAATCAGTATCCCAAATTATTCATACTGTATTCATACTGTATTGTGTTTTTTTTTTTTGTAAATAGTTTGAGTAAGTCATTTTAATCACTATAATTTGAACAATTTTTAAATGTAGTTAAGAATAAAAAGGAAAGTTAAAAGAGAAAAAAATGATCAAACAAATAAGAAATAATAAAGAATTTAAAAGGGGGGGAAGAGAAAGAAAAGTAAGTTGTAAGATGAGCCAATATAATAACTTGGATTTTTTATTTTATTAATGTGTATATATTCATTGGTTTGATCTTATTTTATTTTTTTCTTCTTAAAAAACAAAAAAAAGACAAAAACAAAAAAAAAACAAAAAAAAAAAACAAAAAACACCCCGTCTTGGCCTCATGTAGGAAAATCAGTACAACCAAGCATACCTGATTTATAACATCAAATAGCCCAAGTGTAGACTTGATTAGTTGCTGTTTTCTGGGGGAACTTATATAAAGCATGTCCTAAAGCTAGTAGCAAATTTACTCTGGGTGCGGGCTGAATACTGATCATATTTAGTTGAATTGCCCATCAAAGAAGTCTGTTGTTTATTTAGACCTGAAACTTCTAGTGACATGGGAGCAATAACACTGATGACACACAGAGTCAGCACTTAAAGGTGTAATTTTAGCAAATACATTTGTCTTTATTTTAATCACAAGAAAGCAACTTAAAGTTTGTCATGAAAAAAATTACTTTTGCATATTTAAAGTAGGTTTTAGACTTTTTTTTTTTAAATTCTGTACTTTGTTATGTGAAAATTTTGTCTAAAAATCCAAGGACTTGGAATACGACTGACCTGTTTTTTGATGCATATGAACTATGTGGTTTGCAAAGAGATTGTGACAAGAAATTTTCCATTTTCAGTTCAGGGATTGACTCATCAGAACTAAGACTGATTCTTTTCAGTCTATTATGTTCTGGAGAGTTCTTGCTTACAGATGGCATTTCAGATATCTTGAATGCATCAGAACTATTAGTTGCATGGACGGATCTGGGACTTTGTCGGGATCGAACTAACTGAAAAACAACAGAAAAAAATCAGATTAGAAATTGTATACTTTGTACAAAATGTTTGAATTAAATAAAAACAAGCTATAATATTAAAATAAAAGATATTTTCAATAAATTATTAGTTTGTATTTGTTTTTGAAAAGTATAGAGCTAAAGTAAACATTTGAAAAGAAAATTGAAGAAAAATAGAAGAAAAGAATTAGTTTAAGTTTGATCTTCAATACCCAAGACCAACAGTTTGATTCCCATGGTTTCAGATGATCAAGTAATATATTGTAAAATTACATATTTTGACTTATTTATTATACACATATGTTGTAATTACTATAGATTGATCAAGAATTAATTGTAAATAGGGAAAAAATCAATTTGATTAACTACTGGTCAGATTTGTTGCAGCACTGCACATATTTGAACTTAAAGCAGTGGCAAACAAAATTTACAGATTTAAATGATAGGCTGTCATTACTTGCAGAGGTGAAAGGAAATCACCTAGTGAAAAATATTCCCATACCTAGGACAAGGTCCTGGCTGGTGCTGTCACTACAGCATACTGGGAGGAAAAGGGAGAGAAAACAAGCGGTGTCCCGTTTTTATAACTGTCTAACAGCATCATCTAATGATGTCATGGTGAATTTGACATGTGGGGTGGGGGTAACCTACAGATTAAAAGAAGGCCAGCCAGCCTATAGGACTTACAGACTAGAGTGATAGAAACACAAAGAACAAATGTTTTCATCAAATTCTGGTCATCTTAAGAAAATCGTATGAAAGAATGACTGTATGCAAGCTAAAAGAATAAATATAAAAGGTAAAAAAAATTCTATAAATAAATTTACTGTTTCTCCGTCCAGGTTTTAAAAGGAATATTTTCCTTTTATTAAAGATTTGTATAAAAAAAATTCTTCTTTTTTCAAAGTTCCTACCCATATTTTGTAATTCCCATCCCCCTTCAATCTGCAGCGCTTATCAGAAACAAAATTATTTGCAACTCTTGTTCAGTCATAGAGATAAAATGCAATATTAATACTGGCAAAACTTACAGAATCAATAATTGAAGGATTCTTCTTTGATTTGCTTTCAGGTCGCTTGATTTTTGGTTGCACATTACTTTCAAATATGGACAGAAAGTCATCACTGCAAATAAAACATTAATATTTTTTTTTTATAATGTATTAATAAATGTAAAAAAATATTTTAAGATGTATTTTACTCAAAGTGTCTATCATATATAAAGTCAGTGTTATTTTTTTACAAAATATATTTGTAAAAGTATTCATAGAGAATAATCCGTAAAGAGAAAAAAAAAGAATGAAACAGTCAATGATACTAGATGCAAAACCATTTTATGTTTAAATGACTTTTTCTGTTTAAGGTCAACAACATCTACAGGAGGTAACTCAGTTAAATGAAAAAAAAAAACAAAAACAAAAAAAACAAAAAAAGATTTAATTTCAGTTAGCCCCCTCATCAAAAAATACGGATACATAAATTAAGGGTCAATGTGCTTATAAATACTTTAATATTTAGTAAATTTAATTTCAAATGGATAAAGAATTCATAAAAGTATTCAATATGCATTTACAGAAATATGTATGGGAAATAAAAGATTAAAAAAAAAAACCTGGAAAAAAAGAAAAATATTGTTTAAACCGTCTTGAACTTGTATGCCAAAAGAAAAATATTTAAAACTTATTTAGTGTAAAATTATTTTTTATTCAAATACATTAGTCTTTGAATTGTCTGAATTTCTTAGATTTACTAAATATTAAAGTAATTATAAGCATATTGACCCATAATTTTTATATATATATATATATATATATATATATATATATATACGTATAGATAATTTTGTACTTTGGCAACAGTCCCTCTTTTATACAAGCTTCATTGAAGACAATTGACAAGGCAATACAATTGAGCTTTTTATTAAATTTTTCGTGCACCGGTACAAATATTTACTTTTCGGGATATATTGCTAAAAACTGTCCGAATTTTGTATGAATTTGAGATGGATTAGCCAAATGCACTTGAATGTATAGAAAATTTGGACAGTTTTTACACTCTCTATGTCCCAAAAATAAAATACTTGTATAAATGCAAGAAAAATTTCTGTTTGGGGACCTCGCTTGTCTCGCTAAAACAATTACGACTGAGTAGTGAGTTCAATCCTCACTGGGTGCCTCTTACTTTCGGCCTTGTGCCATATCCAAGCTATGCTTGGAAAATCACTGTATGGTTCTGTTGATAACATACCTTTCTCTAACCTGGTTACGTACAATGTCATAGAACCACATTATGAATTTTACGACTGGTGTCTGCTATTCCACAACCATATTGTTGCATAGTAAACTTCAATGTAAACATAACACAATGTCATCTTTGATGAACAACATCTCTGTTGTAATGTCCATATAATCACTCTGATGATACTGTTTTATTTTAAATGGTATTTATTTCATCTACCAGCCTGCATACTTGAGAAAACTTAAATAAAATGTGCCCTCCAGCAGGATTCAAACCCAAGTCCCCCTTTGCAGGAGAAACCACCATCTGATCCAGCATTCTTTAACTGCTCTCAATCAAGCAAGGTTCTATTGGCCTTTAAAACACACACATTCAGATTTTCTCAAAAGGCTTATTAGCTAACTTTTGTATTCAAAAAGTAAACAAAGCAATTTCTAAAGAATTAATGAATTTCTTATTTTTTAATTAGATATATTTTTTATTACTTCAAACATTATTTTTAGGGGATACCCATATGTGAAGCTCTTCAAATATGGGTATTGGCTTAAGGCCAACAGAAAGTCAAGGTAAACTATGGAGGATACTAATTGATGTAATTTAATGTCTAATAAACGAAAGTGAATAAATGTTGTTGTTATTGTTGTTTTTGAATTTTTTTTTATAATGTAATTATTACTTATTTTATTTTAGTTTTATTTTATATTTATATATTTTAAATAACAGGAGGTTTTGAATTTAACAGATTTCTTTTAATATTTAAAAAAGTTTATAGTCATGTATGTTGCCTTGGGACAGTCGTATTTCTTTTAAGAAAGGAGATATTTAAAAAAATCTGGGGTGCAGATTTATCTTTTTGTAAAGCTTTCTCTTTTAATAAGTGTGGTATTCTTTAGATTGAAATTGTTGTTGAACTTATTTTTATGTATAACTAATGCATTTTTTTTTTCACAATTATTGAAACTTATTCATGCTGACATTAGAAACACATAATCAAAAAGATTACTGATAGATTTTGCTTTTCAAGCCTAGAAGTTATTTTATGTAATGAGCTGCTATAATCATATCAAATTAACACACAATACACTTTTAACATAAAATTCTTAACAACTCATACCTGGTTCTTAAATACACATTGGAAGCAAATATGCAAACTAATAATTATTGATATTTATTGTATTAAAAATACAATTATAGCACAAGGGGGAAAAGGGGTTGAGGCTGGTCTTCACTAACTATCTTATACCTAGCTAATCCGATTCACGACCCATTCACTCGTTACAATTTGCGCATTCACCACAAAAACTCGTCCATCATCAATCAATCCTCCATACACCATAATGCCGCATCCTCTCAGGGGGACCCACAAAACACACCCCAATATTTAAAAATTTAATGATAATAAATATTTTGTAGATAAAAAATCTAATATTTGACAATGCGGGGGGGAACAAACTAGGCAAAATAAATATAACTGATATTAGTAGGACCCGTCCAACCCTCAAAAAGAGAGGCTGCTGTATTCTGCCCATTGAATAAAATCAAGAGGCTCTCTTGCTAAGGGAGAGGGAAAAGAGAAAATATAGCTGGGCATGGGGGAATCAATAAAGCTGACCCAGTTGAGATGAAAGGGAGACAAAACAAACTGGGGAGTTTGGGAATCTCAACTTGAAACATAACCAAAGATGTAACCAAGAACAGGTCAGGAACAACACACTCACATTAACTAGGTACACAAAAGTTTGTCTAGCCTAACCAGGGGAGGGCTCCACAGGAAACCACCCTGATGTGATATAGGTTGACCTAAAAAATAAAATCAAGGTTAGCCCCGTTCAAGTGAACTAAGCTTGTCTCAGCCACCCACCTTTCGCTAAAGGCTGTTGAATGCAAGCATTTTTTATCAGTTCTCATCTTCATCTTGAGCTGATGCTCAAAGAATTGGATCAGATCCTGATGAGAAAGACAGTTGATTCGCAAGACTTCCTCCAGTCGCATCGTCCAAATCACCATTTGGGCCTTGGCCAGCAGCATTAGAAACCCCATTCGTTTCACACCAGAATACGGGGGCGACTGTCATACGCGTATGCATGATCAATGAGCAAAAGTATTTCGGGAGCGATACAAGCTGTCAGCTCACCCACATGGTCCCATAAGAGGCAGAACCAAGGACAATGGTAGAAGGTGTGCGAAGCCGTTTCTTCCAGGCCAAGGTCACATCGTTCAGAGTCTGGAAAATCTGCCAAGCCCCATATAAAGGTCATATCATTGAGAGGCAGCCTATTCCGAGCCAATTGGCAGGTAAGCAAAAACTCAGAGTTACTGAGGTAATCCATTGCTGGTGCCCAAGAGGAGCGAAACTCCTCCTCCGACAAGTCAAGCTACTCAATAGAGGATCCTTCGCGGCCCCCTCCACTAGATAATGATTGAAGACCCTCCTAGGCTGAGAAAGGTCATTGGACCGAAGAATGACCTTCAAGGCGTATTGACACTCGTGATGGAAACTCGATAGAACCCACTTATGGTGGTGCCCAGCCCACGAGATGGGGGGATTGATGGTAAGGCAAGGGAAGGTATCCCTTACAATCATAATCGAATCTCCTGTCAACGCGAGGCGAGCTTGTGACTCACCAAGTGTGGCATTCCCAGTCCCCCATGACATGGACGTTGTGCACAGACTTCTCTATTGACCTGATGTTTGCGTCAACTCCACAAAATGAAGGATAGCGAGCGCTTGAGCAGCTTCTTATGATCTTTACAGAGAGGAAGTATGGCCAAGTGATAAAAGACAAGAGGAAAGATGCAAGTGGCACACACCTCCACCCTGCCCTTCATGGACAACCTCTGTCTCACCGGCCGCATCAACCTTTGCCCATACTTCTGACCAGTTTTTCTCCAGCTTGAGGCCTGGTCCAAACCACACTCCAAGAATGCGGACAGGACCATCCGTCCGACCAAAGGGCCCCGGAAGATCCACCCCCTTCCAGGCACTTAACTGTGAGCCAGAAGACTTGTCGCGGTTAATCCTGGCCCCTGTCACCTTTTCGTACCAATCAAGCGCCTCCATCTTTTTTTTTTTTCCAAATTTTCATCTGTACAGGAAATTGGTATGAATATAAGCTTGTTTTCCTAGTACTTATATATATATATATATATATACACCGCTACTTATTATTAACACCCTACACTCGCCTACCCAATTTAAACAATTCGCCCTTGCTGTTACCATGGAGATTTTGATTTCAATTTTTAAAACAAGTAAATTTCAGATATACGTTATTCCAACAAAAATTTCGCTTGAAGATGGAACGGAGCCCATTTTAATTTAAACTCAATTTAATTTAAAGGATTATATTGAAGTTTTCGGCTCTTGTTTTGAGACCTCTTATGTAGCGATTTGGAATCATATTTTTAAATAAATAATTATGTATATATATATATATATATATATAAATAAATAAAATATCGTGTGTGTGTGTACACACACAGTTAGATCTGAATGTTTGCATTATATATATATATATATTATATATATATATATATAAATGCAAGCATTCAGATCTAACTAAAAATATATCTGAAAAAAGACAAAAAAAAAAAAAAAAAACTTTCTAGAAAATAGAAATAATTACAAATTTGATTTTGCTTACTGATTCAGTCTTGACTTTCTAGAATTTTCTTTATTCCTGGCAGACAGAATGCTCATGTCACTTCTTTCTGTGGATAACTGACTGGCACTACAAGTGCTACCAGCAGCAACTGAAATGGATGTAACATAATATGTACATTTTGTATTTACATCTAAACAACACAACTTTTCAATTATGACATTATCAATAAATACCAAGAGTCATATTTACTGGCCACAATTTTTCAAGGATTTTTTTTTTCCAAGATTTAAATAATTGCATTCCTTTTTGTTGTTACTACAACATTTTGATCAATCCATTCTACAACCTTCTTCAAGTATATAAGAAGGGAAACTTAAAAAATGAGAGAGAGAGGGGGGGGCATTACAAATTTTATACCTGAAGAATGCTGGAGAATGAACTGGTCAAAGTGTAACTGTGGAGTGAGTAGCCATGGTCAAATGCAAAATAAGTAACAGAACTGTCCAACAAACAGAATTCACAAAGTTTGCAATAAATAACAAGAAAAAGAAAAGAACAGGGCAAAAATAATATAAAATAAGCAAACAATATATGCAAGGCAAATTAACAGTACTAAGGCAAAGCAACAGTAATATGGAAAAAAAGTTCACAAAATAAGGTTTGGGGTTGACAAATTTGGACAAATGAGTGTAACATTCTAACTTCAAGACTGGGACTGAGTCAGATGAAACTAAGAACCTGCCTATTTTATAGGCTAGGAAAAATCCCAGTATGCATTTGTGTGCTTCTGCCTATGTATAGGGAAGTAGCAAGTGTTTTGCAGTCATTCCTCCCCGACTGGAATCAACAGTTATGATAACATCCAGAAAAAAAAAAAAAGTTCAATTATCTCTAACAAAAACTTTGAATGTTAACACATTGTTACAATTATTTTGTTTCTATGTTTTTACATTGTTGTGGATCTGTGCATTTTATAACAGGATCCTTCTAATCAATATTTAAATTTGGTAAATGGGTATACCCCCCCCCCAATAGATCATAGTAGATTTTTAGTATAAAATAAACCAATAAGAGGTAAATACATTTTCATTAGGCAGAGAGAAACTTTCTTTAAGTTTTTCAAATTTTGTTTCATTCTTGACTAGTATTTCCTTCAAATTAATTGCCATCATTCTGTCTGATAATAAATTGCACAGATCAAAAATAAAGAATAGGTGTTCAGTAAAACTCTAACACCTTTTTTTTAGCTCAAGGATATGTACAACAGATGTTTTACACCCTGAGCTATGAAAGCTGAGTTAGAGAAACTAAACTCTAATCTTATGGCTCTATTCATTTTATCTTATGTTTGCTGAATTTTAAAGAAAATAAGGAATATGCTTGTACACTTATATAGGATCTTCTGAACAAATGGCATTGTATTTCCAATGGTAGAACAATCATTATATATAAATGGTCTTCTCAGAGTAAAAGAGACATCTAGTTTTTATTTCCAATCTGCTTTTTACTAACAGCTGGCAAATGACAGATTAATTATGATTAACAAATTAAATTAAGGATCTTTTCTGTTAATTCACCGAAAATATTAATTCACCCCCAAATAAAAAGAAGTTTGCCCAATCCACAATGGTGAAATGATTCATCTCAAGTTCTTCACAAAAGTTTATGGTGGCTATATTCTTTGACCATAAATAATGATTTTATGGTAGGGAAGGCAATTTTCTTTCCTTAGCTTCTTCTCTTCATGGCATTTACTGAGATGGCAGCGTCATCTATCTTGTTGATTTCATTGACATATTTACTCTCTGTAAGAAGTGAAAACCACTCTCCTTGTCCCTGAATTCTTGTATTAACTCTAGCAACTTCATGGCAAGCTAAACAAATTTTGATTTAAAAATTTTAATTTCAAAAGAATGCCAAAAATTTAATAACAAAAAAAAACTTGGATTTAAAATTTATCATTTCTTAGGGTGAATTAACAGAAAAGATCTGAAATTAAGATTAGAGAAAAAAGAAAATCAAGAGGTACTGAAAAGTTCTCAGCCTAATCAAGAAGGTAATTTAAGAAAATTCTGACATTGGTTAAATATGGAGGAGAGGGTCGGATGAAGATTTCAGTAATGCCTCAATAACTAATGGTTGACAATGCTTCATTTAACAATAACAAAAATTCCAGATAATATTAATAATTTGTTACTTTCAAAAGTGCAGTAAATTCAGACAACACAGATTAAACTAAAAAGTTTAGTACCTGATTTCCTCCTGGTTGCATCTGTGTTAGAATGATTACTTCTGGGTGCATTTGTGTTCAATGAATAGTTACTCCGTGCAGATGTGGAACGTTTCTACAAGGGAGAAAAATATCAATATTGAATTACTTCCCTTGATTGAAATTGTACATATAATTAATCAATCTCTCTATCTCTCTCACACACACACTAGCAATGTCATATTTTGACCTCAACAGAAAGAACTGTTATTACAGAGAAATTGATTAGCAATATTTATTACAAGTGAATCCGGCTAGCAAATCAAAATTTGAAATATTCAAAAATATAGATCTGCAGAAACTCCTGAAATTACCAAGAAAATGGGCGTTTATTTTAGAGTGTCTTTCTGCCATCTTGTAATATTTCTTTTATTTTTAGTCTTTCAGAAAATGCAATGTTGTTAACTAAAGTCCTAAAGACTAAAAGTTATAAATCAATATATTTTATAGCTTCTTGAATCAAAAACACAACAATTAAAAATTAACAATGAGAAGAAAATATTGAAGATTGACTTCAGGTTAATTCTCTTTGATTTAACTTAAAATCTTCATTAATAATAATAATAACAACCATCTTTACTACAACATTTACAATTATATAATCTCATTAACAAAGATTAACAGAGGAAACAATTGCTTAAGTGAGTTTGGACTTTGTTGAAGTTGTTCATATTCTCTTTTTTTTCTTCTTTTGTTTCACCACAAACAAAGTGACAATGCTATGAGGGTTACAGGGAGTGAAAGATTATGAGAAAACTTTTAGTGAGAAGAAATGAGAAAAAGGACAATAAAGGAACAGGATTTAGGAAGACAGAAGATAGTGATTGATGTTGCATTTAAATCTTTGAAGGAAGCAAGAAATCAGAATGGAGTTTCACAGGTGATAAGTGCAAGAAAAAAATCTATTAGAATAGAATTGATGGTTGCCTCTCACTAGTTCAACAGTAAAACAATGAGACCCAGTTACCATTCTAATAATCCACTTGAATTTGTTCAGATGAGGCTTAGGAAAGGTATGAATCAACCTCTCTTGCTTTCTGTACTGTCACTTGGTAATATTTCTCATCAATGGAATGCTATGATGAATAGCTGAGAAGAGAGTAGACTGGAGAGCATATGAAGAAATTACTCCCTCATAAATAGCTTATCCAGCAACAAAAGCCTTTATTCATACTATCAACCCTGACAGGATCCAATAAGGTCTGACATATAAGCTTACTGATAATTTTTTATGGATAGTTATATCATTAATCATAAACAGTAATGTAAATATGAAAATAATTAAATAACCTAATCAGCTAATGGTAAACCTCGTATTGTTGGCTAGGATTTAAAATTAAAAGCTTTCAATTGATAAACATCATTTTTGGTAATAAAGCAAAACAATACTGCTTATTAATATTTGACATTTTAGAATAAAAACAAAATCAAACCACTAATTTTCACAAGACTGAATTCATACTTAGATTTGTGACAAACTGGACCATTTATTTATATTTATTGTAACTCTTAAACAGCAGGAAAAGGTTGCATGAATGTTGGACATTGGGTAAAAAACAGAATTCATTTTTGTAAAAAGATAGTTTTGATGCTTATTTTTTATTTAATTATATACAAAACTATATAAATAATAGACTCATTTAGATTAGAAAATAAAGTAAAAAAAAGGAAAATAAATCAAATGTTAGGTTTATCTATATTTTTCAGATAAGACATTGTAACTATTTACATTGTTTGGACTGTTCTCATTTTCATTGCCATATTCACAATGTTTCGGCCGTTGTACACTCTGGCCTTCTTTAGGTGATATTAGCTGGAATTTCAAACTGAATCCTTTATTTAGTCCATGGGAGTATATTGTTCTAATTCCATTTGCTATGTCTTTGGATATCTCTTTCAGTTAATTCCCCTTGGTAACTCAACTCTCCAAGTTTTTGTTCCTTCTGCTGTGGTCAGGAATTGAACTCACAATTCTTTGGGTCAAGTCACTTTTAGGATCACTCAAACAACCCTTTTATCCCTTGGGAATATCAGTGACTGAATTCCTGGGACTTATAAAGCTAATGTCACTACCATTTTTACCAGAGTTCATATTGCAATTTTGTTTGTTTGTTATTGTTGTTTTTCTCTAGCTCTCTGTATTACTGGTTTCCATATTGTATTCATTTCTATGTTTGGCTAGGTTAGATTTTTGTAGCCTAGCATATGTGCTGATTCTTTAAGTTTTCACATTTTCCAGTAATATTCTCTATTATTTCAAATTCATCCCAAATGTTAGGTTCCTAAAGGAGCAGCATATTTCTATTAACTATTCCATTGTGCATTCTTTGTACCAAGCAGTCACCATTTTTGCGTTTTCTCTCAAAGAAATATGCATGCAGACATATTGTCTTTGGCTTGTTGTTCCAGTTTTATTTGCAGGCAAATACTCCAGGAAATGCTGTAACCTCAATAATTCTAGTAAATAGGAACCTTATGAATCCTAGAGTTGCCAATTAGTCAATTAGACTCAAATAATGAATGAATCATTAGAAAAAGTTTAAATCAACAATTAATGATATTGGCTGATCTCCAATGAAACATCAGTTGATGATGCCCGCTGTTAAGATATTAAGTGATTCATGAAGTCATTTAAGGGGAGTAGAGAGTAATAATTGAAGTAATATATCACATTAGTGTCTGTCTGAATTTCTGGGGTGTGGAGTTATTATTTGCACTACTTATATTCAGACTATTGGAAATTGGTGAGCAATAACTGAGCTGTACTAAAAGTAAGAACAAGATATGGGCAGCAAAACAAGAACAGTTTACACATGTAGATTAAATAAAAGGTTCAGTTCAGAATTCCTTGTATGTTACCCAGATCAATACACACCTGATGACGGATGGAGAGTACAATGGCCAAAATGTGATAACAGACAAGGACGATGGCTTGGATATAAACAGTGTAAATTAGGTTTGTAAAAAAAAAAAAAAAAAAAGAAAAAAAAAAAAAAACAAGTTTAATAACTTACCGATCTTCTGTCAGTTTCACTGATAGCAGTAGCATTTTTTAGTTGTTTTACAACAGTGGGGCGTCGTGAAGAAGATATTATAGACATTTGTGAACCAGAAAGCTGAAGATCAACGTTCTCTGCATTCACACTTTTCTGTCCAGACATGCTGACAAAAAACTGAAATTAAAAAAAATAAATAAAAATAATGCAAACAAATGCTTCAACAGAAAGTAAAAAAACTTCAAATAAAAATGTGTAAACATCCAGCGACTGAACAGTATTTTTTGAAACAATTTTTACAACTTTATTTTGACAGAAGTAATTTTTACTTAAACCTCTGTTGTTATTACCGTGGGAAATTTGAGCAGAGCACAAAATATTTTTACTAAATATTTAGCAAGTGGCATGTCAAATTTTCATGATTAGTCAAGTAGCTTTCTGAATATCTGTCAAGCAACTATGAGGAGTTTCTGGTTTTAGTCAAAATATTTGTGAATTACTAGCAGTTTTATTTGTTTACTGAAAATAAAATGAAGCCTATTTTTGCTTGTATGAATTTTTGAAATTTAGAAATTCATTTATTATTGAAATAATAAATGAATTATAATAAATAATAGTAAATAATAAATTATTATTTACTATTTTGAAATTTAGAAATACACTTTTTATAAAATTGAATTTTTCAAATTAGAACTTTTCTTTAAATTTTTATTTATCTGACAACAAAAAAACCCCAAAAAACAAAAAGCACTCAAGATGATATATAACAATAAAATCAAGAAGTAAATGAGATATCTACATTGTAAATGGGGTCTTTGAAAACCTCATGGTACTAATATAGAGTACTGTTGAAGGGGTAAGTTTGTATTTAATATATTTAAGGATATTCAAATGTTATGCTTAATATTTTTTAATGATTTTGTATTATTACAATCTTTTTATATTATTCATTATAAAGATTTTTTTCCTACTTATAATCTGTTGCTATCAAAGTCATTAAGTCAAAATTTGTATGTTGCAAATTTATAAAATTTTATTGCTTTTGATTAAATATTCATTTTTTCACTTTGACAGTATTACTTGCTTTTCTGTTACAGAAAACAAGGATAAAGAAAAATATACAAAGTGGATAACTGTCCAGATTTACACAAAGTTTAACTTTTATCACTCTGTATGTGACTTCATTTGTTGTACAAAAAGTTTATCCTGCCACTGAAGGTGACTGATCCCTGAACAATAGTGTATTTGAATTTCATAGATGTGTTGTCATATCCAGCTATGGCAATAGAAAACAACTTTGAGTTAAATTAAAGTTACTGCAATTGAGGAAACTTGAAAAGAATGCTGTGGAAAGCAAATTAATATTAATAATGCAGGGTGCTAAGGGTCAATATAAAAATAATAGCATAGCATGCATCAAAAATGACAGAATGACTCATGGGTAAATTTTATCAAACAAAACCTGTACATGTGGAACAAAATTTATTTTTCTGACAATTTTCCACACTTCTTCATATTTTGTTCTTAATAATTTTAAAGCAATATAGAAATGAAATTGAGACATCAGCAGTAGAAGTAATGTCATCTTCATCCTTATCAGTAGTAGTAGTGATATAACCAGCATCAGTTGCCTACTGCCAATGAACACTCAAACACCATATAGTACTTCTCTTTCCATTTGCTTCAGCATGACAAAAAAAAAAAGTGACAATGGCTTTTATAGGATTAAATTCATTAATGGAAACATCAAAGATTTTTCTATATTTTCCATATAATTACAGAAATGTAGTTCTCTTAATGCTTTCAACATTAAAAGAATACTAAATATTAAATCAAATTAAGTTTTATAAAACTAAGCAGGATGTTGAAATTTAATGTGTCTAAAATATAATGCAATAGATTTTTAAGCCCAAATTCTTAATCATGTGATATTTACCAAATTATCTTAAATTTACTTACAATTTTTTGTTTCTGCTCTTGAAGGATTCCTTCAAGAAGTATCTCAGCTTGAAGATTTGAAAAAAATAAAAATAAACTTACTAATTCTTTTTTTTCATGCAAAATAAACATCTTGTAGCTACAAAAAGTTTATTAAAGTTCCTAATTTATGATAATTATTATATATCACTAAATGGTAAGAGGTAAATAGTTTAGGGAAATATAAATCAATTTAGTAACACTTATTGCTTCTGATGCTGTCATTTATTTTGCAAATTGAAAAAGATACCAGAATTTTTCTTTCATAAATACCAATTTTTCTTGTTAACTATGTGTAGGTGCTCATGATCTATATCTATAATTCTCAAAATGTGTGTGAGCATGTGTGTGAGATTGGATGTTTATGTGATTCCAGTTTTCATCCGATTTTAATGAATTTTTTTGTCTGATAGATAATTTTTTTAGTGCCAGTTTCGAGTTCAAATTGTTGGCGACAATGGCTCTCCACTACTTCCAGTCCATTATAACTCTCAGTAACATTTTATTATTTACTATCTGTTCTTGGATATATATATATATATATCGTTCATAAAAACTTTAATAAAAATAAACACTTTAAATTATTACAATATTATCTAGAATTCTCAAAATGTGTGCAATCGGATGTTGTTTATGCATTTACACAGTTTTCATTCAATTTCGATAACATTTTTTTTGTTTGATAGATAATTCTTCAGTGTCGGTTTTGAGTCCAAATTACACATTCCCCTTCTCTTTTATAAAGCCTACTGTTACAGTTTTAAGGTATTGCTTCCATTGTCGTTTATAGCCATTCCCAATTTAAATTTTTTCACTGTCCTGTCACTTTTTGCATTGCATTCACCATAGTAATAAGTAAGCTTGCTTTTTTTTTTATTACTCAACATTTATTTTTCCAACCTTAACTAAAGTTATTTGAGATTAGTGATCCCTGTAGCTTTACAGCATTTTCTTCTGGTATTTGCGCACACATACCATTTGACAATTCATACTTGCCTAAGACATGCCATCAAAGAAAAGAACTTGCTTAGGTCACAAAACCATTGCCATCAAGTCTGCCTTGCCAATAAGAGATAACTAATCATCTTTAGAATGTTCATTTTGCCTATCTCGAAATGCTTCAGTCAGAGCCACCGAGTCCAAAGATCAATATAGCCATAGGCTTTCCAGAAGAGCATACCTGAATGCTTCTGTGCGTGAGGCTGAAGTAAAATTGAGAACACAAAAATGGCCCCTTTCAGGGCCACCCCACCATTCAAATTGTTACCCCCCCCATTTGGGGATGTGTCTCAGTTGCACCCAATTGTTGTTACTAATATTGATTTTTGAGTGGGTTGACTTTAAACTGTTCCAATTGAACGGTAAAAATTCCCAATAATGAAAGACCCAGTCAAAGACGTTATATTGCTAGTTCTTTATAGTTTCCATTTCTGAATCATAATGGCTGATCTTGGAAAGAAGAGTGGAGTCATTTCTTGTTGTCTTCTCAATAATTTTGAGTACAGAGTTGTCCTCTGGCTAACCTACCATGAGAGTCCTATTTTTTTTTTTTTTTTTTTTTTTACTCCTAACTGGTTGAAGAGTACTAGATAAAAAGTGGAGAGGGGACATGATAAATGGAGGGGAGGGGAGGGGGCAAAAAAAATGTGGGGATTGGAAAATGATTCAAAGCAAGACTTTCAAACTATCATAAGATCTTGAAGAAATAAAAACAAAAAACAGTTCAATGTTAAAGAAATAGAAGGCTTAACAAATTCAAGTTTTTTTTTTTTTTACAATGATATTCATCTTGCACAAGACCCAAGAGCCACTTGAGGTAAAGGGTTACTGAGTAAGATATACTACCCCAAGCAAGGTGATAATACCAACAATGCACAAAGGAGCCACTGAAAGTGGAACAGAAGAATAAGACTTTAGAAGGAACTGGAAACCCAATCCTAAACAGAAGGCCTAATTTTGAAGATAATTTTGAGATAAACCTCTACTCTGGTTAGATTTAAAAAAAAAAAAAAAAAAAAAAAAAAAATTATAATAATGATAATAATTTTGATTAATCTATTAATTAGGGTGCTTGTTATGTGAAAAGTAAACAAAATTAATAAATTGGATGGTAGTGTCCCAAAACTTACAAGCAGAGGGATTGTTTATTTGGCACTTAAGATGAATGAATGCTTTTTCCAGGCATCAGATTAAAGTAAATGCAACAGTATTTACTAGAATACTAGTAATCACTATACTACACACACATGATACCAAATTAGGCGACTCTGATCCCAAAGTACTATCAATTTGTATGACTATATTCACTGGCAGGACCAGATTATCCTTTAGGCTAGTATAAGCTGTAACAAAAGGCCACTCAAGCTTTTATAAAGCAATGATTTAAATTTTCTAGATGTTATAACATAAATAGTTTCATAAATAGTCTTTAAGAAATACCACGATTTCACTCTTTATTGCAAACCAAATTAACACGTATTTCAACACAACCATAGTAGAAAAAAAAAACAAAAACATAATTAGCATTATAACAATCGAAATAAATATGAGTTTGTCATATTGATATCATTTCAGTTTATGAAACTGTTTAGAAGTTATAATGTCTAGAAAATTAAAATAACTGCTTTATAAAAATTTCTTGGATTTAAACATTAAACTAAAATCAAAACATCTTACTGACTTGAAACTTAATGACACAAACTAAATCATTCTCTTGCTTGCTTTGCTTCCTGCAAAGTCAAATAAATATTAGTTTGTCATATTGATATTTTTATTTTTTTAAATTTTAAAATTTTAGTTTATTTTTTTAAACTGATTGTCAATTGTTTCAGGTATATATAAGATACCAAATTCTTATGTACTAAATTTGTTCAATAATAAACACAATGTCAAATTACATAATATTGCAAATAAACTTAAATTTATTGTAAGCATTCTACAATGACAAACACAATTTAAGTTATAACATTCTAGCACTAAACAACGTGATAGAAAAATCCGATACAAAATGCTTGTGAATTTCAAAATCATAATATACCATTCTTGAAAATGACCAATGATGATTGAAAGTGCTCAAACATATGACCACATCTATTACCTTGTATGAAAACACTAAAAAACGTTATCAA